CTAGCATTTTATCAGACATATGATTTGAACATTCTTTCTCTTAATCTGTGGGTGATGTCTTCATTCTTTTGTTTTCTGTGCTACAGACGTTTTTAGTTTGAAATCTCATTTGTTCTTCATTTTTGTTGTATATGTCTGGAGTGTTGTGCAAAGTACTTTTTAGTAGCTTTATAGTTTGGGGGCTTACATATAAGTCTTTGATCCATGTTGAGTTGATTTTTGTATGCCTTTTATATGTGAATATTCTGTTTTCTCAATAGCATTTAATGATGTTTTTGTCCTTTTCCTGTTTATGCTTTGAATAATTATTTTGTGTAAATTTATTTTATTTTTAAATCTTTATTATTGGGCATTCTATTCTTTTGCATTGATCATTATGTTCTTTGTCTGCTAGTCCCATGTTGTTTTGTTTATAGTAGCTTTATAATGTATTTTATAATCAGATAATATGATGCTTTATGCTTTGTTCTTTCTGATCTAAAGTCCTTTGACTGCTCAGAAATTTTGTAGTTCCATTTGTATTTAGAATTATTTTCTACTTCAATGAAAAATATCATTGGAATATTGATAGTGATTGACTTGACTCTATAAAAACTACTTTGGATTTTATGGTCATTTTTGTCATCAAGTGGTTGACTGCATAAACAGGATTCAACTTTATACTGCATACAGATGAATCACTATACCTCTAATGAGATATGTAGCCAAAAAATATATTATGTTCAAATGGAAGTCTAAATAGAAATAGGAGTAACTGCATATGTTCAACAAAACAGAATTTAAATTACAAGTTCCAGGAAGAGAAAAAGGAATGCAGTCCCACTAAAAATATTGTATAAAATATTCAGTTTATATATGTAAAGTGTATCCAAAACAAATTATTTTTTTGTTAAGCTTATGTCTCATCCCCAGGATATCTCATAATTTATATGCAAGTAATTCAACCCCCAAATCTGCAATTGTAAACATTTATTTTTCTAAGCATTTTTGTATAAGGAATATTCCATCTGTACATGGAGGAATCATACCAACCTTGCCATATGCTACAAATGAGGTCCAGAGAACAGATTATGGCAATACATGTGGATACAACAACTTATTACACCTCAGTGAACTGCAAAACTAAGACTAACGTAACCCTAAATTTGTTAGAAGAAAGGAAATAATGAATTCTAGAAATACACAAATAACGACTACAAAAACAATAGAAAAGATCAAGTTAGTAGTCATGGCTCATGCCAGTAAGTTTTCTATTCCTTGATGATTCATCCATGTATAGTGTATAAAATCATGCAGTTTTGGCAGTCTGCCCTCCCAAGTCCCTCTCCTATTTTCATACTTTGCTCTGCGTTTTGACTTCTGTTTTGTTTGTCATGTGCTGAGGCTAATTAGGGTTACTTCCATGAGCATGAAAAATGTGTTATGCCTAGACTACTGAAGAAAATAACTGCCTCTCCCCTTGTAACCTTTAACTGCCAATAGCTCCTCAGGGAGGGGTAGGATCTCATGAGTCTCTCTCCATCTGTGGTAGAATGTTCGTGGGCCAAGTCCTAGGCAAGTTAAAAGTTAATGTCTGAAAAGATATGGCCAAAGCCTTAGTTGGACTAATTTTAAAAAGGGAAATATTCAAAGTGGAGATGAGAGTAATTAAAACTTGTAACATAGAAGTACAAAATTCCTAAGATACATCAACAAATTGGATAGTCTACACTCCAGCAAACAACTATGTAGCAAAAATTAGATAAGTCTAAAAGAAACAAAAATTTCTCAAAACATACAACCTATAAAAAAATCTATCAAGAGTCTGCTTTGTGGTGGTGCATGCCTTTAATGCCAGCACTCAAGAGGCAGTGGCAGATGAATCTCCAAGTTTGAGGCCATCCTGGTCTACAGAGCAAGTTCCAGGACAGCCAGGGGCTACACAGCAAAACCCTGCTTTGAAAAAAACAACAACATCAAAAACAAAATTAATCATAAAGGAACAGCACATCTAAGCAAAATTATACCAAGAGACTTAATATATAAAAACCTCTTAATAACTTCATTGCTGAGTTCTATCAGACTGTTAGAGAGGGACTAATTTAATTTCTTGTCGAACCTCTGAAAATTGAAGGGGGTAATGCTTCCAATCACCTTATTAGTCCACCATTATCTTGATAATAATATCAAAGCCATTGTCAGTATCCCTAATGGGGATACTGACACAAAATGTTAGTAGCTACTAATTCAGCACGCTGAAATATCATAAAACATTATCAAGTCTAATTTATTTCCATGATTCAAGAATGTATCATTACAGGCTATTTAATGACCGTACAGCAATTGATAAAATGAAGGAGAAAATATTGGACACTTTCTTTTCTAAGAATACAGAAAAGAATTTGACAAAATTTGCCATCCATTGGTGATAAGATTACTAATAAGTATGAAAAATACATACCCCAGTGTAGTAAAGCCGTATACTTCAAGCCCACAGCTAACGTACTCTTCAGTGATGAGTGTGGTTTTTCATCTAGGATCAGGAACTAACCAAGGATGCCTTTCCTATCTACTGGGTTAATACTGGATATTCTTTCCAAATCAATTGGAAAAAGAAAAAAAGGATATAACAATCTAATTATGAAAGAAAAATGACATATTTGTTGATGACATAATGTTATACAGAGAAACCCCAAAAGACTGCACCAAAAAGCATTTGAAACTGATTGTAATTTCAGTCAAGTTTTCAGGCTAAAAAAGCACCACATGAAAATCTGTGGTGTTTCTGTGCCCTAATGATGAACTAGTTGAAAGAGAAATTGTGAAAAACAATCCCATTTACAGTATTAAGTAATAGAATATATATACATAAACTTAACTAAGAAAATGAGAGTTCGCTATGATTAAAAACTGCACCACTTGCCAGGCGGTGGTGGCGCAAGCCTGTAATCCCTGCACTCTGGGACAGAGGCAGGCGAATCTCTGAGTTTGAGACCAGCTTGATCTACAGAATGAGCTCCAGGACAGGCTCCAAAACGGAGAAACCCTGTTTCAATCCCCCCCCCCAAACAACATCAACAACAACAACAAACCACCCCAAAACAAAAACATCAAAAACAAATCTGCGACACTGATGCTCTAATCAAAGACCGAATAAATAGATGGAAAGATACCTGTGCTCATTGCTTAGAATCTTTTTTCTAGCTCTACGTGTTCCTCAAAGTTTTTTATTTTTATTTTTTATTTCTTCCCACTCCTAGTGATTTGTTACTTGTTTTTATCTTGCAAGAAAGGATTTTTCAATGATGGATTTTTCTCCCACCCCCAAATCGTATGAAGAACTGTTGGGAGCTATTTTTGTTGCCATGCTCGGTGCTGGTAATGCTGTTATTTTAATTTTTTAATTGATTTTATTGAGCTATATATTTTTCTCTGCTCCGCTCCCTACCACTTCCCTCCCTTTCAACCCTCTGCCATGGTCCCCATGCTCCCAATTTACTCAGGAGATCTTGTCTTTTTCTACTTCCCATGTAGATTAGATCCATGCATGTCTCTCTTAGGGTCCTCATTGTTATCTAGGAAGAACTGAACTCTTGCCTTAAGTTTGCTGTGCTTAAAGATAGAATTGTTCCTATTTGTACCACACAGTTTTTACAGGGTGCTAAGATGCCCTTTTGCCTCAGGGTGACTTTGAATATAACAGAGAGTCTATCTCATGATTAAAATACATGTGACTATAGAGGGGTTCCCAGGTGTCCATGGAGATGTCCCCAGCTAGTTCCTTGGGCAGCTGAGGAGAGGGAGCCTGAAATGACCCTATCCTATAGCCATACTGATGAATATCTTGCATATCACCATAGAACCTTCATCTGGTGATGGATGGAGATAGAGACAGAGACCCACACTGGAGCACTGGACTGAGCTCCCAAGGTCCAAATGAGGAGCAGAAGGAGGGAGAACATGAGCAAGGAAGTCAGGACCACGAGGGGTGCACCCACCTACTGAGATGGTGGAGCTGATCTATTGGGAGCTCACCAAGGCTAGCTGGACTGGGACTGAAAAAGCATGGGATCAAACTGGACTTTCTGAACATGGTGGACAATGAGGGCTGCTGAGAAGCCAAGGACAATGGCACTGGGTTTTTGATTCTACTGCATGTACTGGCTTTGTGGGAGCCTAGTCTGTTTTGATGCTCACCTTCCTAGACCTGGATGGAGGGGGGAGGACCTTGGACTTTCCACAGGGCAGGGAACCCTGACTGCTCTTTGGGCTGGAGAGGGAGGGGGAGGGGAGGGGGGGAGAGGAGGGAAATGGGAGGCGGGGAGGAGGCGGAAATTTTTAATAAAAAATTAAAAAATAAAATAAATAAAATACATGTGGGTTACTTAATATTTTCAGTTTGTAAGACAAAATTGGAAAGACTTCACAAGAAAAATAGGTTGTAAATCCTTACATTAAAAGCAAGATCTCTGTTTTAGAAGTGAGCAGAATCTAGGTGGTATTTGTTGAATTGTTCAGGTTATGTTAGAATCTTGGAAATCTTTTAAATTACACATATTTTTATTATTATTTTGTGTGTATGTTTATGTGTATGAGAGAGATAAAGCCTCAAAAATTTATTGATAATAAACTAGTAGAAGAAACTCTATAGTTATAATCCAAAAGGTGAGAATTGATGGACCATCCTAAAAGAGATTTTCTTTTCTTTATATCTTATTTATTTATTTCTTCATTTATCCATTTATATATTGTGTAGTATCATAGAAAGAAAAAGATAAGGTGCTTGATAAGCTACAGAAAGCCAAGTAGAGTATCAGACTCCCGAGGCCTAACAGAGTAGTATTGTTAATACTATTGAGTTTAGGAGATAATGAAATACATAACGGGAATTTAGACCTTATCATTGTAGAATTGGTATGGCAGGTGGGCCCTATTTTGTCTTATTTTAATAACATAATTTTATAAAATAAGTTTTACTTTTAGATTTTAAGATGCATTCCCCTATTTCATTTTATTTGCAGTGAATATCACCTCAGCCAGGCAATTAACCGGATGTAGTCGCTTCAGCCATGTGTTCCCCTCATCTGCTTACCAGCATATTAAGATGCATAAGAGAATCCTGGGGCACTTATCTTCTGTCTACTGTGTAGCATTTGATCGAAGCGGGAGGCGAATCTTTACAGTGAGTTAAAAATTTATGATATGTTAAGCCTTAATTTAGACAAAAAAAATTTATGATATGTAACATTATGTACTTACAACTGAAGCAAGACTCCATGCCATATATTGTATTGTATTGTATAAGTAATTCTATTTAGACTTACTAATGTAAGAAAAGTTGTGTTGAAATTGTAAATAATTTCTTATTTTATATAAATGAAGGGTGAGCTATGATACCCACTATCTTTTGGGGAAATTTATTTAAAAAAATTGTCTTCAGAAGTCTATATAAATTCAAGATAGTTAATTTTTGTGAAACAGGTAAACTCTGTTTAATTCTATTTAACAGGCATTTATTTAAAAGGCCTTTTACTTGTGTAATTGCTGCAAGTTTGGTTTTAATAATTATATCACCTTCAAGATTAAATAGTTGAACTATAATGAGGATTAAACTTACATTATATATTTCTTTGATTTTAGTGTTGCTTATTTTTAAAAACTTATTTTTAAGTTTTACTAAGTCATGTTCTTTGCTTTTAAGTAAAAATTATAACATAATAATATGTCTAAAAATATTGATCTAATTGCTTCATTACTGTTAACATAGAACTGAGAGAAGTAGCAGAATTTCAGATGTTTATTTATATCCTACAGCAAAGGAAATGCTTTATATTTTGAGAAATTATAACTCCGTATATTGTATGACAGACTCTCCTGCTGATGACTTATGTCTCTAACTATGATGATATAATAATGGTGCATGTCATTTTTAATAAATAGGTAATTACTTCCTGTATTAGAATAGAATTCATTTTACTATATTTAAAACTCATTTGGAATTTTCAAAGGGAAGTGCATCATAAAGATTTTTACTAGGGATTATTAATGCCCTTGGCTTTCCAGAAAAACCAATGTAGATTATGAACATAAATTTTGAAATATTTGCAGAAAAAAATTATTAAGCCAATTAAGCCAAAGACTTCTAGGCACATAGAAAGAAACAATGGCTGAAATGCTTAATAACTAATCACTTAAGTATATGCTTAAAATATTTAAAATGCTTTTAGGGTTATTAGTTTTGAAGACTTTGTCACAGATGCCACTGTTAGTTTGAACAATACTTAGTTCTATCATTTAGGCAATGTTTATATTTGCTACTGGGTCCACATATTTTTCCTTAGTAAAATGTTTGCTTTGTAATGTTGCTTTCCTTCTGGCAAGTTTCTGTTTCATTATAAATCTTCTGTCTTTTGTGTTACTGTAGGGTTCAGATGACTGCTTGGTGAAAATCTGGGCTACAGATGATGGACGCCTCCTTGCTACACTGCGAGGGCACTCTGCTGAAATCTCTGACATGGCCGTTAACTATGAAAATACTCTCATTGCTGCAGGCAGCTGCGATAAAGTTGTGAGAGTATGGTGTCTTCGAACTTGCGCACCAGTTGCTGTCCTTCAGGGACATTCAGCTTCTATTACTTCCATACAGGTGAGAACAATGATATGATCTCTGACATATTCATAAATCCGAGGATTTTTCATTTGTATTATGAATATATTATATATTACATGATAGATATTATGTGGATAATAGCAGAAAGAAGGACAACAGAAAAATGCTTATAGAGCTTTGCTTCTCATCTGCAGAGAAATATTTTTATTTTCCTTTTTATATAAACCTGTGTCTTTAGAAATCAATTTAAAAAAGCAAAATGGAGCTGGTTCTTCAAATCCAGCATGAGACAACATGTTTATTATCTTATGTGTATACGTGAAGAGGGGATTATACTTGTAAATGCCTGCCTGTCCACTAGTGAATACCTGTCAATCAGGGTCTAAGCAGGTTCTAACACGAGTATTGTCATACTCTGTTAATATTTAATTCAAGATCTATGCCAGATTTAATATGTGTAGTTTTTATATTATAAAGTTTTAATACTACGAAGAAACCTTTTTATTTTTAGTTCCAGTGGGTTTTTTTTGCTTCCATGTGTTACTTGATATAAAATATGTTATTCATACAATACTTTGACCAGATGTTGGTAGTGTGAGTGAGTCCTTGATATCTCAAAAGCTGCTGTGCTTAACAACACTAAGCTGAAGTTTTACCATTCTGTTTTTGTCGAGAGAAACCAAAGAATTTAAACTTTTACATGTAGATAATAGTTTTGTGCGAGGCCTTTACTTACATTTCTTGTGTGCTTTTAAAGTAACATGTCACTTACTTGTAGGGACCTAGCAGAAAGTGCACTTCTGTATTCTGATTAATTGAGATTATTATGTGGATTATTTTAAGATCATGCAGGCGTGCGCACGTGCACGCACGCACACGCACGCGCACGCACGCACACGCACGCACACGCACACACACACACACACACACACACACACGTATCCTTGGACTTTAAAATTTCTTACACCTACCCTTAATGATATATTTGACATTGATTTAACTGATAACTCAAATATCCTCATCTTGGCCCCATCTCATAGCTATGGCTTTACCTTTCAACTGTGTTCTTAGAATCATTGCATGAACGTCTCAAACTCAAAATTGAATTCTTTTTCCTCCCTAAAATTTAATCCCACTGTAGCTTCTTCCCTCATCTGTTTAGTAAATTTTTGCCACAAATAAAATACCTGAAGCATTTTTTGCAAAGTAAGGAGGGTTTATTTAGCTCACAGTATCAGATATCAAATTGCAATGACTAAATTCAAGCTCTGCGGCTACCTCTTGTCTCTATGAATCCACATTCTAAATAATAAAGGGAGAAGTATGCTTGGAATAAAAACAATGAATCATGGTGGAGGCATGTGTGCATAAAAGCTTAAATCACTCTGCAGGAAGTCCCATAAACACATTGGAGGTAGATATGATCCCTTTAAGGCATACCCTCAATAATCTCTGGATTTCCCCTGATGTCCTTACTCAGAAAGGTCCCATCATCTTTAATAACCTACTTTGTAGACCAACCCTTTCATATGTGGACCTTTGTGGTGATGTACAGCATCCTTATAGTATCATCCAAACATGGTGATTTCATGATCTTAATTAATGTTTATCTTCTTCCTGTTCTCTTTATCGAATCTGTCACCCAATCATTTTGTTTTGCTCTTCAAAATATACTCAGAGTCTGGAACATTCTCATGAATTACATCTGAATATGCAGCTTAAAGCCACTAATATCTCTGGCCCTAGATTATTGAAACAGGCTTCTCATCGATCTTCCTGCTCTGAAGTCTCCCTTTTCCTAGTTTAGACTCTCCCTGGTAACTAGATGATTGTAAACTAGAGTATGTCACGTCACTAGTACTCAGGAGCTGGCTAGCTTCTGTTCTGCAGGTGAGAGGCAGCAGGACTCGATAAGCTCTGGGCTTATGCAGTCTCAGCCTCTAGGCTTCCCTTGCCCTCATCTACTGTTACCTGCTTTTCATTTTCACTCTGTTTTAGCTGCTGGTAAATTCCTCTCTTCTCCTTTTATTCCCTTCTTTTTGTTTCCTCCTCCTCTTCATTCTTCTCCTTTTCCTCTTCTTATTCCTTACTCTTCCTTCTGTCTCAGCCTCTCACATACTTATGCCAGGGTAAAATTCCTGGTTTTTGTTCCTACTATTTTGTATCTCTGGAGCAGTCTTCCCTAAACACTCACATAATTTGTCCCTTCACTTTGTAAGTACTCTATGCAGATCTTCTCAAGAAGACCATCTCTGACTTACCATTTTATTAGTCTATAACAGTCTGTGTCTTCTTGCTGTGTAGTAATAGGGGCAGCGGGGCTGCGTCCCCAACACCCCAGCCGCCTGCTCGGCTAGCTTATGCCCGAAATAATTACACAGAATCTGTATTCATTTAATCACTGCTTGGCCCATTTTCTTCTAGGCTAATTCTCACATATTAATTTAGCCCATTTCTAATCATCTGTGTGTAGCACCCCAAGGTGCGCTTACCGGGGAGATTCTATCCTATGTCCATCCTGGGTCGGAGCTTCATCCCGGGAGCAGGGCATGGCGTCTCTCTCGGGCATCTGCTCCAGAGAGGAGAGCTGTCGAGACTGACCTCACTTCCTCTTCCTCCCAGTGTCCTGTTCTGCCTACTCCACCCACCTAAGGGATGGCCTATCAAAATGGGCCAAGGCAGTTTGTTTATTACCAATGACCTTCCTCCATCATTTCCCTTTTTTCTGTTTAAACAAAAAGGAAAGGCTTTAACTTTAACATAGCAAAATTACATATAACAAAACAGTTATCAAGTAAAAGTTATAATAATCTTTATCATAACTAAGGAAAACTATAACTATAACTAACTATTCTTAACTCCATCAAAGACTCCAGAAAGATACAATACTACCTAAGCAAACAAGAAAAAAAGCAACTTTTAAAACTCTAGAAATGACAGAGACATCTCGCTGCCTGGACAGTCACCCAAAGTTCCTCTGTACCGTTGGGGCATCCATCTTCAGCCTTCAGGCCCATGGTATCCAGCAGACATTTCCATAAAGCAGGAAAATTCAAAGTCAGTTCAGTCACTATCTGTTGTGTCCTGCAGAATGTCTCGCAGACTCTTTCAAAATGAATCAGGAACCCCGAAAGATCATCTAACCTTAGGCAAGTTCAGTAGTCCTCTCTCTGCGGGTTCTCTGTGTCCAGTGTATGCAATAGTCCAGGCAAGAGCAGTTTCTTGCCCAAATGGCTATCAAACTCCATAAGGTGCCTCTTCGATGCCCATTTTCCTCTTGAAGTACATTGGTGCTGCCAGGAGCAGAGTGTCTCATTGTCATGAAAAGTCCTCAGTTATTAAAACATTAAATGTCCTATTCTGTAATCTTTGAAAGACATGAAGAATGTCTATCTAAAATATATCTCTATATATCTAGAAAATCTAACATGACTAAAAGCTTTACTATTATCAATGATTATCCATTAACAACCTATATTTCTTAATTATACAGTACATATTTAAATGAACTACACAATCACAATACCTTAATCAAAATCAGAAACACTTATACATATAACAAAATTGACCGTAAATCTCTATCAATAAAGCAAAATCTATACTAATGCAAATTATTCATACCTATATCATATCCCCCTTTAAATGTGAAAGAACGTTTATAAACCATATTTGTGAACATGGACGCAGTTTTTTCTCTTTTGAGGAGATATAAAATACCAAGAATCAGAGTCTGAGAAGTATACTATTATAAAGACTCTCTCCCTCCCTTTTGAGTGCTGGGATTGAAGGTGTGCACCCCACTGCCCAGCACAAATGATTTAAATTTTCAAAAGACAAAATCAACTAGGTATGGCGGCATGCACCTGTAATCCCAGCATTCTTTAGACAGAGGCAAGCAAAGGGCCAGCCAGTCTACACAGTGAGATAGAAAACAGCTAGGGTTACACAGCAAAATTTTATCTCAAAAAAAAAACTATAGTTCCTATGAACATATATTTTCTACACTTGTGGTTTAACTTAGTAATGTGCTTCTGAATTTATTTTTCCTTAAAATATCTTAAAGCCTTATTTTAAATTATTTAGAACAGTAGTAAGTACTGAAATATTTTATGTCAGTTTCAATTTTGACTTTTACTTTTAAGATTTTAGTTTTAGTTTTATTATGTGTGTATGAGCAGGAGGAAGGGCGCTGTGTGTATGTGTAGAGTGCCTGTGGAGGCCAGAGGAAGGCTTTGGATCCTCTGGAGCTGGAGTTTTAAGAGGTTGTGAAGCACCCAGTGTGGGTGCTGAGAACTAAAACCAGGTCCTCTGGAAGAGCCACAAGCATTAACTACTAAGCCATTAATTAGCTCTCTAGCCCCTCAGTTAATGTTTTCTGTGGGTTTGGGTGTTTAAAAGTGTCCATTTATCTAGGGAATGTAAGCAACAAAAATTCTGATACTGAAATTCTCTTGTGTGTATGTGTTTTTTGCGTGTGCATGTAGGTTTCAGGCATGCATGTGCTACAGCACATGTGTGAAGGGCAGAGCAACTTGCAGGAGTCGGTTCTCTCCACCCACTGTCTGGACCCTGTGACTCAAACTCAGAACCTCAGGCATTTACTCACTCAGCCATATCTCACTGCACTGATGCTGAAATTCTTAAGTGTTTTATTTATATGTTATATTTGTACAAAAATAGTCTGAGCAGGAAAACTTTGTATTTGGTTTGAATTCTTTTTCAGTTTTGTCCATCAACTAAAGGCACAACTAGATACCTCACTTCGACTGGTGCTGATGGAACAATATGTTTCTGGCAATGGCATGTAAAAACAATGAAGTTTAGGTAAGTAGAAATATATTTTAGGAAATTTTTGAAAAATCAATTTGCATATCTTCATTCTTTGATGATACGATAATAGTTGAAGTATTGAAGTATGTACATGTAAATACACTCCCAGTGTGTATTTATATCCATATTTATTTTTATGTTTAGAGATTTTAGAATATTTTTTATAAAGTCAGTATTGAGGCTATGAAATTCATATGGAAAAGTGTGGTATGACGTATTTGAACATTTTGTAATAATAGCATTAAATAAAAGCAATATGTTTGTAAAACTATTGTCAACATCTGATGTTATAAATTATATTTATGAGGTTTAAAAACTTTTAGCTGAAACTATGATAATAGTCATTGTTGACTTCTTTGCTTTAGCTCTTAAAAGTAATACTGATATTGAGTAGATCAATATTCACCAGTGTGCTGAGATTTTTGTCCATTAGATGAGCCTGATAGAATTAAAACATTTCCTTTATTCTTAGGGATCGCCCAGTAAAATTTACTGAGAGATCCAGACCTGGAGTTCAGATATCTTGTTCATCTTTCAGTTCTGGTATGTATCAAAATTTAATGCTTTGATTACTCAAAATCATCCATGTATAAAAGATTGATTTAAATTTTTTTTGTGCCGGGCGGTGGTGGCGCACGCCTTTAACCCCAGCATTTGGGAGGCAGAGGCAGGCGGATCTCTGTGAGTTCGAGGCCAGTCTGGTCTACAAGTGCCAGGACAGGCTCCAAAGCTACAGAGAAACCCTGTCTCAAAAAAAAACAAAACAAAAAAAAAATCTAAAAAAAATAAAAAAAATAAATAAATTTTTTTTGTGAAGAGAAAAAATGTGTGCTTGAAAGTTAACCATACCAATGTTGTAAACCATCTGTTATATGCCACATGAACCTGTTTGATTAATAGCACCTAGTAATAACTTTTCTTAATTTAATTTAATTTAATTTATTTTTTATATAATGCTGGTTTTATTTGGCAAAGAATAAACAGTCACTAGCTCAAATATCCATTAACCAGAAGTTCCTAACTTTACAGAATGTGTACAGAATTGTGGCTTCATATATAAGATGCAAGATAATTGTAAGAAATATTCTTTGAGTTTTGGCATAGTATTTCTATATAAAATATAGTTATTCTTAAACAGCTTTTACTTATTGCTTTTAATCAATAAGCCTATGTTTCTCTATAATTGGTAAGTTTTCTTAGGTGAAAAATATATTTGTTTTACATAGTCTCTCTTTTTATCTCTTTCTCTGTCTTTGTCTCTTATGGCAATGAGAATTGGACCTAGGGCTTTGAATGTGCTAGGCAAGCCCTCAGACATTGAACTATATCCACAATTCTCTACTTTTTCACTTTTATTTATTCACTTTTAACTTTTTAAACCTTAAGGTCTTTTTTTTTTTCTTCCCTGAGACGCTGTCCTGGAACTCACTTTGTAGACCAGGATGGCATGAAACTCATATAGATCTGCCTGTCTCTGTCTCCCAAGTACTGGGATTAAAGGCATGTGCCATCACACCCAGCCAGAGGTCTTTAATTTTTAACATTTATTCTTTTATTGTGTGTGTGTGTGCCTGCACGTGTACTTCCTGACACATCTGGTTAGGTCTGAGTGCAGCATTTGGGAGTTAGTTTTCTCCCTCTACCTTGTGGGTTTTGAGGATTGAACTTTGATCCATAGGGCTTGTCAGCACACACCTTAATGCACTGAGCTGTCTCATTGGCTTTTACTTTCTTATTTGAATGCAAGATCTCACTTAATTGCCGAGGCTGGTCTTGAAGTCACACTGAAGCCCTAGCCAACTTTTAGCTTATGGTCTTTCTGCCTTAGCCTCCCTAGTAGCAGAATTATAGTTGTGTTAATTGATACAACTCTCCTGTTTTTCTTGAATTGTATTTCCTTTTCTTTGAAATATTAGCATGACATCAGTATTTATAAGACAGTTTTATGTTTCTTGAATGCTTATTACTAATACAAGGTGAAGAATTAAATTGATCTAAAAGGAGCTCCTTGGTACTATGTGTTTTGTTTTGTTTTGAATCTTCTAGGTGGTATGTTCATTACAACAGGTAGCACTGACCATGTTATTAGAATATACTATTTGGGTTCTGAGATACCAGAGAAAATTGCAGAATTAGAATCACATACGGTAAGAGCAAAATAAGAAACTTAATTTTTTATCTCCCTCTCTTGTCTTTTCTGATCTGTATCATACTTTAGTGTAGATGAATATTAAAACCTTTAACTTAAGATGTCTGTTTTTTTCTTCATGGTTTTTCATAACAGCGTTTCTCTGTGTAACAGCCCTTCCTGTCTTGGAACTCGCTTTGTAGACCAGGCTGGCCTAAAACTCAGAAATCTGCCTGCCTCTGCTTCCCAAGTACTGGGATTAAAGGTGTGCACCACCACCACCCAGCAAGATGTCTCTTCAGTAATGAGAATAAATGTGAATTTTCGAATGAATAATTTTGTCCATAAGATGAGCTGTATTTGACTGTACATAAAATGTTCACATACTTAAAAGACATTTTAAGTATATTCATATGAATATACTTGTTGCTCTGTATGTTTTTCACAGTATCATCAAAGGCTCAGTTGAATCTAATCTTCCTTAGCAATAGCAGTCCTCATTTATTTTTGTTATTAATATTTTATTTAACATACAAAGAAATCAGCTTCAATATATCATTTTCATACATGGATCTTGTACTTTGTTCTTATTAAAACCCATGTCTATACCTCCCTTCCTCTCTTTTCATTTAATTTTACATATATTCCATTACCCACTCTTATTCCTTCTCATCCACTTAAATGTCTTTCTCCTCTCTCACAGTCTTCTTTCTACTTTCATATCATGCACATCCAAACATATATGTGTTTAGATTCCATGTATCAGAGAAAATACATTTGACAGTCTATGCCTGGTTTGTTTAGCTAAACACAGTTATCTCCAGTTACATCCAATTTCCTACAAATGTTAAGATTTCGTTCTGTTTTATGCATAGACAGAATCACATTATATATGTGTATCACCTTTTCTTTATCCATTCATCTGTTGGTGGACATGTAGGATAGTTCCACTTACTAGTTACCAAGAGTAATGCACAATGGACATGAATATTCAAGTATGTCTGTGGTAGGTGGATTTAGAGTCATTTATATGAATGTATAAGAGTAATATACATGGCTTATATTGTAGTATTACTTTTGAAATTTTCATGAAATGTCTATACTGGTTTTCATAGTGCCTATAACACTATACATTCCCATCGGCAGCATAGGGGTTCCTTTTTCTTCATATCCTGGCCATCATTTTTGTAGTTTGTTTGTTTTCTGAAGTGAGATGGAATCCTAATGCAGCTTGAGTCTGCATGTCCCTGATGGATAAGAATGTCGGGTACCTTTTCAAATATTTATTGATCATTTGCATGTCTTCCTTTGAGAACTGTACAGTTTTAGACATACCAAATCCTACTTGCGCTCACCTTTCTGCTTCATATTCCAGATGCTAAATGTTGGAAGTTTATTTCAATTTTGCCCGAGAAAATCTTAGAAATATTCAAAAATCTCATTCTGACACCAATAAGTGTAAGAAATCCATTTGAGCTAAGCATGAGAAGGCAGTTCCTCTGCACTGTGTAGACAAGCAGTGGGAGAGGAGAGAATATGTGTGTAGGAAAAAATGAAGGGGGAAACGAAGAAAATTTGATTTGCAACACCAAAGCATTTTTACCAAGTTAAAAAAAAAATCCCCCCCCCCCCCCCGGGGGCTGGAGAGATGGCTCAGAGGTTAAGAGCATTGCCTGCTCTTCCAAAGGTCCTGAGTTCAATTCCCAGCAACCACATGGTGGCTCACAACCATCTGTAATGAGATCTGGTGCCCTCTTCTGGCATGCAGGCAGGCATGGAAGGAATGTTGTATACATAATAAATAAACAAATATTTAGAAAAAAAAATCCCCCGTTGGAATGAATGATTTAACACTCGTGTTAGTTGTTATAGTTATATTATTTCTTCAGGACATCTAAAATCAGTGATGTTGACTGTTAGTGAGGATTCGGAATTTATCAGTAAATAGCACATTGACACCACAAAACAATATAAACTAGAAATATGTGGATATATAGATAGCTTAATAATTTATAAAAATTAGAATAATAAAGTACGAAGGATTTGCTATTGTTTTATTAAAAGTTAAGTTAAAGTGCAGCTTAACAGCTGGAGATCGTGAAAAGATTACTCAGTGTGAGGGGAATGCATTAAGCTTTGTTAAAGAAAGTGTGAAAAGTTACCAGTTTCAGCTTAATGTTTAAAAGGACACATGGCAAAACAGAAGTAAATAGTTTTTTCTGAAGTTATACAAATAAGACAATTGGGAACTTTCATTGAACTCAGTTGTCTTAAGGTGACTTCTATTACTGTGTTGTCTTAGGGAGGATGTAATATTCAGATCTATGCATCTTGATATGATTTACAGGCAGATTTGTTTATATCTAGTTGGTTTCGGAAGGCCACCAACCTACTTAGCTTGCACTTTGATAGAAGCTTTGGCGATTTATCTTTTTAAGTTAAATGATTTTATTTTAGAATTGAAAATCATTTAAATAGAACTAAGCTTTTGGGTATAAATTTAGGGGAAGGGCACTTTATTTTTCAAGTAAGTTCATTTTAATCAAAAGTCTTTTCTATGTTTTAGGACAAAGTTGTTGCTGTTCAGTTCTGTAACAACGGAGACAGGTAAATATGGAGTACTTATTTGTATAAAGAAATAGTTGATGGTTTTTATTATTCAATCCAAAGGAATATGGTTGATATCCAGACACTGGCTTCTCAGGAACTCCCTTAGAAACCCTTTTCTAGGCTAAGCGTCTGTCTTCACATTACCTTCCTCAGACTTTAGCTCCAATTTCCAGTCACTGCACTCATTCCTAGAAATGAGTTTGTATCCTATTCCAACTTCTGCAGTTCTGGGGATTCCTTATTGTACCCCAGTTTCACTAACAGAGGTTTTTTTTTTAAGATCATCTTTATGATTTGAATTGTTTTGCTAGTTTTAAAGATAAAACCTAAAAGATGCATTTGTAGGCAGGGAGATTACTTTGTATCGTCTTTGGCAACAGAAGCAGGCTGTACTGATGCTCTCTGCTGTTTGCAAGATAACTTTAGACAAATTAACTCAAAGTTTCTTTTCACTTTACATACGCATGCATGAGGCAGAAAATAACTATTTTGTTCAGTCACTTAGCTTCAAAGTCCATGTCTATCTTCCTTGATATCGTCATCTCTCATTGAAATTTTTAACTCAGGAGTGACCATAGACTGTCGGCTTATCTTCCCTAGTTCTTTTGTGTTTACTTGGTGTTTTCTGTTTTCTTCACCACCTAAGTTCATGAAGAATTCTGGTATTTGATTAGTATGTCTCTGACGAGTAAATATTTGTTCTATTCAGAAATTTTAAAGCATTTTCTCTTCTATTGCTCTGAAATAAAATTTAAATGTCAACATGACATTTCCAAATTCTGTACAACTTGACTTAGACAACTACGTTCCTTCTCATGTGAATCTGTACATGTATGTTCTCTAGTTGCTTTGTGTATTGTTTGTGTTCCTTACTTTCCCATTATCTCACCCGTTGATTTTCTTATGCTTTTCCTCACATAATTCCTGGTGGGAAATGTCGTTCCCTACTTTCTTTTTTTATTTTTTTTTATTGAGAAAAGGAGAAAAAAAAACAACTTTCCACCTCCTCCTAGCCTCCCATTTCCCTCCCCTTCCTCCCACCCTTCTCCCCCTCCTCCCACCCTTCTCCCCCTCCCCCCACTCCTTTCCCCCTCCCTCTCCAGCCCAAAGAGCAGTCAGGGTTCCCTGCCCTGTGGTAAGTCCTAGGTCCTACCCCCTCCGTCCATATCTAGGAAGGTGAACATCCAAACTGGCTAGGCTCCCACCAAGCCAGCACATTAAGCAGGATCAAAACCCCGTGCCATTGTCCTTGGCTTCTCATCAGCCCTCATTGTTCGCCATGTTCAGAGAGTCCGGTTTTATCCCATGCTTTTTCAGTCACAGTCCAGCTGGCCTTGGTGAGCTCCCAGTAGATCAGCTCCACTGTCTCAGTGGGTGGGTGCACCCCTCGTGGTCCCGACTTCTTTGCTCATGTTCTCCTTCCTTCTGCTCCTCATTGGGACCTTGGGAGCTCAGTCCAGTGCTCCAGTGTGGGTCTCTGTCGTTCCCTACTTTCTACCTTATTATCTTTTCCCTCCTTCACGTCCTATCTCCCTTCTTCTTGTCTCTTCTTTCCTTTCTTTTCTCTCTCTTTGTTTCCTTTCTTTCCCTCCTGATTCTGTTTTATCTGTGTTTCATCTGGCCTTGAAGATTTGTGTCTTACTCGGAGCCTTTCCTAAGGCCTCAAGATTTTATATTTATTTTGACATCCTCTCAACATTTTTATCAATCGTCTCTATTACTTAGAAGATACATTCCCTATCTCTGTAAAATTAGACCTTACATACAAATAGCCATTTTAGAATCCTCTAAAATATCTGGCCCCTAAATGTAATAATCTATGCTGGTCTAAAATTTGATAGAAAATAGATCAAGTTAGCATATATTTGTATTTATATGCCCACATGACAACTCTGTGCGTGTCTATTTTATTTCTAAGTACTTTTGAACAATGAGTAGTTACAAAGATGAATTTTGACCATCTTTGTGAACTATAAAAGCAAATAATTATGGTTTACGGTTTACTTATATTAAGAATGACAAAACCTTAAAATAAAATTTAACCATATTACCATTTTAAAATGACTTTTAAATCTATTTTTATTTATTGGTGTGTATATGTTTCTCTCTCTCTCTCTCTCTCTCTCTCTCTCTCTCTCTCTCTCTCTCTCTCTCTCTCTCTCTCTGTGTGTGTGTGTGTGTGTATTTACCACATATATGTGGGTGCCTGCATAGACCAGAAGAGGGCTGGAGTTATAAGCAGACGTAGGTCATATGACATGGGTGCTCAGAGCCAATTCCGGGTCCTGTAGAAGAGCAGCAGTACTCTTAACTGCTGAGCCTCCTCTTCAGGCTCCTATAAGTTAGTGATATTTTAAGATTTGGTTTTATTTTTAATTGTGTGTGGGGGTTTGTGCATGCATGAATCAGTATCCATATTTGCGTGGGTGCCTGAGGAGCCTACAGAGATCCAGATCCTCTGGAGCTAGAGTTAACTGGCAGTTGTGAGCCTCCTGACATGGTGCTTGAACTTGGGTCTTCTAGAAGAGCAATATATGCTCTTAACTGCTGAGACATCTCTCTAGCACTTATTTTTACTTTTAATCCTCCCTCCCTCCCTCCCTCTTTCCCTCCTTTCCCACCTCGGTTTGTGTGTGTGTGTTCTAAATGAGGGTATGCGGATCTGAGTATTGTGTCCACAGAGAGGATCAGATCTTGTCAGATCTCATGCATTTGGAGTTAGAGGCCTTCTTAACCACTGAGCCGTCTCTCCAGAACCCATATTACTATTTTTTCCTACTGAAAGAACCTGCAATGTTAATTATTGTCTATTTGTAAATGTGTATTTCAAATACATTGTTACTATGTCTTCAAAAATAAATGCAGTCAATACATAAAAATATCTTATATAAGTCTAAAAATGTAAAAAGTATACAGAACATGTAAAATATGAATGGATGAATGTCTGAAATATCAAAATACTGACATTTGCTTTTTCCAAGGAAGGATCATAGGTGAATCTTTGCTCATTCTTGAAATTCTTGGTACTCATTTTCTTCATTAGTATAAAAATAAGCAGTTCCTACTTAAAATATCCAATTTCACCAATATGAAAATATAAATTAAAATCACTACAGAATTTTCTTTAAAAGACAAGATAATTAAAAATTTTATATTCAATATGTTGAGGATTATAAATTGATTCTTGCAACTTAAGATTCTTATTTTCTTTCAAACTGGGAAACAATTTGGCAGTACACATTAAGAACACTTAAAAATATACCTGTTTTAACTCAGTACAATATATGAGACTGTACAAAGATAGAGATGTTCTTCATAGCATTAAGTTTAAAGCTGTAATGTAAAAATAATATGCCTTAGTTAGGGTTTCTATTCCTGTGAAGAGACACCCTGACCTTGGCAAACTCTTAGAAACATTTAATCAAGATGGCAGCTTACAGTTCCATAGGTGCAGTCCATTATCATCATGGTGCGGAGCATGGTGGTGTGCAGGCAGACATGAAAGTGTACAAGCTTCAGAAAGAGCTGCTGCATGCTGACATGCAGGCAACAAGAAAGAGACTGAGAATCCTGCATCTTGTAGGCAACAGGAAGCAGTCTGCGACACTGGGCAGTATCTTGGGCATATATAAGACCTCAAACTCACCTCCACAGTGACACCCTTCCTCCAGAAAGACACCTACTCTAACAAAGCCACACCTTCTAATATTGCCATTCCCTTTGAGGGCCATTTTCTTTCAACTACCACATAATGTAATTATCGTGATGAGCTTCATTAAGTAAATTTTGATATCATCCATGTAGTTGAACACTTATTGAAATTGATATAGTTTATACTTATAAATATAGATTAAGCTCTACAAAATATGAGAACAATATTGTATATGGTAGGATTCTGTTTCCTAAGGGGGAAATTGGTCAATATATGTGTTTCAGTGGATTTTTATTTTTTTATACAGTCTCTTTGTATGTAGCTCATGCTGGCCTTGAACATGTGATCTTCCTCATCTTCTTGAGTGCAACAGGCATGCAAACATGTTTGGTTTAAATGCATGTCTGAAATAGTAGAACAAATACAGTATCAAACTTGTGGGTGAATACATGTACTGTTAATGATAGCTCATAATGAAACTTCCTGTATATTTATAGTGTTGTACAACCTTCAGTGTTAATCTTTGAACAAACATATTCTGTAACCTTATAGATGCTCATTCCCTTTAGCTGTGAATCCTCAAGCCTATCATCACTCTTTCCTGGCACTGGGCAACTTTTCCTCTTTGTTAGTAAACGTACTTGTATATTCAGTGTTCACCCACATTACAAAATGCATCACTTTTCATTATTGAGCAATAGTCTGTTATATGAATGTCATATTTTCTTTATCCACTGGTAAACATTTCCTTTGTTTCTGGTTTTGGGATCACTGAGTGTTCTCTGAGTCTTCACATAACACGTTTTATATGGACTATTGTTTTAATTTATTTTGGTGAATATGTACCTGGAATAGGAACACTAGGTGGAAAAGTAACTTTACGTTTAGTATTTTAGGAATTGTCATACTGTTTTCTAAAATCAGTGTACTGTTTTACATATCCCAGCAGTGTATGAAGGTTATTCGTTTTATAATCAGGAAAATGTGATGAGTTTCAGAAAAATAACAAGGCTATTTTAACTTCTTTTTTCCAGTTTAAGATTTGTTAGTGGAAGTAGAGATGGAACAGCAAGAATATGGCAATATCAACAACAGGAATGGAAGAGTATAGTGCTAGATATGGCTACTAAAATGAGTGGGTAAGAATGGGTATTAGATATTTCAGGGGGTTTCTCATGGCATACCGTCTTTTGCATTGCCCTATAGTTAATAGTGAATATAATTTTCGTGTTTGTAAATAGTTTGAAATTAATCACTAGGTATGAAATTTATACCTTGATTCAGTCTCTTAGCAACTGTTCCTTTGCTGTTGATTGACTAGAACATTGCTGAATACTACATAATAAGTTTACCTTTTACTCTGATTACTGAGGACTTCCTTGTATTTCATATTGTTAGCATTTAATCAGTATCTGCTTTCATCAGCTTACTGCTTATTAGAAGATATGTCACTCTCTTTAAATAATTTGATTTATTCATGTTTGACCTTTAAATTGACTACCTTATTAAACTAAACTGACTTTATAGTCACAGACAGGTATTATTAATGTCATGGTCATTTAAGTAAACAAATTTCCTGATGCTTATTTGCAAAGCCTATTATTTTTAAACTTTTAAACGTAATATTTAAGGGGATAATATAATCATTGTACATTTTTTATTTTCTGGCAGCCAACATGATCATATTGTGAATTTTACTTTATAAGATATAGAGTTCTTCCTGTTCTCAATTTCATGCGCTTCCAAGTAACTATTGTATTAGTTTGGTTTATATCACTGCCATTAAACATAATAGCCAAAAGGAACTTGGGGAGGAAAGGGCCTTATTTCTTCTTACAACTCCTAAGTCATACTCTGTCATTGAAAAGCTCAAGGCAAGATACTTGAAGGCAGGAACTGAAGCAGAAGCCATGTCAAACCCTATTTTCTTAGACTTGCTCTCCATAGCCTGTTCAGCCTGCTTTCTTACTCAGGACCACCTGTGCAGAGGTGGTTGGGGCCTCCCGTATCAATGGTTAGTCAAGAAAATGGCCTACAGTCTTACCTAAAGACCTAATGGAGGCATTTTCCCAATTGAGATTTCATTTTCTAATGTGACTCAAACTTGTGTCCAATTGACAAAAAGTTAACCACTACTATTTACCTACAATAGTTTTTAACCTTCATTGCCATCAGTTTATGGGTACTATTCTATGATGGGGTACAGTTTCTTTCATGAATACTCTTTAGATTATTTTATCTAATCATTTGCATCTTCTAGAATATTTTGTCATAGTTTGCTGCTTTGTTAAAATATGCAAGATACACATACTTCAAATTTGTGCTTCAGGAATAATTTGACCTCCTCAGAAGACAAAGTCACTAAGCTGAAGGTGACAATGGTGGCTTGGGATCGTTATGACACCACTGTTATTACTGCAGTGAACAATTTCCTTTTGAAAGTTTGGAATTCTGTCACAGGGCAACTTCTTCATACTTTGTCTGTAAGTATTATACTTTTTTGTAGGAGAAGAAACTATTTGAGCCTAATGGACTGGCGTGTTGTAGGTCTAACACTTAGAAGACTGAGCTATGAAGAATACTTGAACCTAGGAGTTTGAGACCAGTGTGGGCCGTGAAATGAGACCTTGTTCCCAAAAAGAATGAAAAGGGTCAAAGTGCATTGTTCTAGGAATAAGACATTTAAGTTTTACTTTCCTTTCTGTGACTTATTAGCCTTTGGAGAATATTTTGGGGATCTTTTGGTACATCTGCCAGATAGGACTAATACATGATATATATACCACTGAAAACAGGAATGATTTTTGTTATTAATTACATTTATTCATTCATATCACATCTCAGCCTCTCCCCCGCAACAACGCCTCCTCAGTTTCTGTTCCGAAAGGGGCAGGTCTCCTATGGGTGTCAACAAAGCATGGCATATCAAGTTGAGGTAGGACTAAGCACTTCCCTTTGTATTAAGGGTGAGCGAGGTAACCCTGCATGGGGAATAGGTAGGAGTCCCACGAGTAGGTCAAGCTGCACAACTGTCATGCATATGTAAAGGATAGCCATGCTACAGTCCATAGCCCCAGAGAGGTTAGGTAACAAGGAGGGGGCAAGGTAGAACAGGGACACATGGATTGTTCTTGGAAGGGGAAATATAAGAGATCTCCTGGGTAGACTGGGGACTGCTGGGGATGGGAACATGAGGAATTGGCTTAGGGGAGTGGATGGAGGGGTGAATATTGAAAGAGATGTCTTTATTGGTGGTGGTGGGGCATTTGGGGGTCAGGGAGAAACCTGGTGCCAGGAAAACTCCCAGAAATTCACAAGGATGACCCCAGAGAAGACTCATATCAACAGTGAACAGGTAGCCTGAACTGGCCATCTCCAGATTGATGACCACCCGAGTTTTCTTCAGAGGGCTTTATCCAGTAACTGATGGAAGCTGATGCAGAGACCCATAGCCAAGCACTAGGCTGAGTACCCAGTACAAGTCACGGGGTTAAGGTCATGACAGGGGAACCCACAAAAGCAACTAACCTGGGCTCATAGTATCTCACAGACACTGGGCCAACAGCTAGGAATTATTTTTTTAAAGATTATTTCTAAGTCTAGTGTTTATCTGTTTCCGAATGTTAATATATCTTCAAGTATGCAGTAATTGGTTTGTAGCAAGGATTAGGATTTATTATTATTTTTTCTTTATTATCTTTCTTTTTTAAAATATTTATTTATTTTATTGGTGTTTTGCTTGCATATATGGCTGTGTGAGAGTGTCCAAATCCATGGGACTAGCATTACAGACAGTTCCAAGATGCCATGTGGGTGCTGGGAATTGAACCTAGGTACTTTGGGAGAACAGCCAGTGCTCTTAATTACTGAGCCACCCCTCCAGCCCCCGGATTTTTTATTATTATATTGCGGGTATATCCTTCATTTTCTATCTTCAATGATCAGTTTACATAAGAAGTAAAAGAGGAAGAAGTAGGAGAAAAACTAGTGCTTTTCGATTTCAAATATATTTCTCATAGTAAAAGGCTCTTACATCTGTAGAATTAAGCAGAATATCATGTGGGTGGGGTTCTTTGTTGGTTCATCATGTTATGAGTGGATGCCTGTTTCCCTTCTCTGCTTTAGTTATCAATTCATAAGCATTTTACTGAGACAAATCCAAGTGAACGTCTGTTGGATATAATATAGCATTAAATGGCAGGGTTTAGACTAGAAACTCAACTCACTTTCTTAAGGAGTACCTTGCTAACTACTAATTCTGGAAAATTTCAGCATGTAACATACTGAGGTGAGAAGCTCGACAGGTTTGAGTCTAGCCTGGGCTACATATTGAATGCCACGATAACCTGGGCTGCATAGGAAAATCATGCCTCTACACTAGTCAACTATTTAATAAATAAAAGCAAGCAAAAATGCTAACCTATTCTTACCTTGACTCTTAAATTGAAAGTATTGGTTTGGATCAGTACTCCAAACAAAAAATATAAGCTATATTTTATAAGCTATGTAGATTATAATTATCTATCTATCTATCTATCTATCTATCTATCTATCTATCTATCTATCTATCTATCTATCTATCTATCTTCTAATCATTTTTTTCTAGTAGCTAAAATTTGAAAGAACCAACTAATTTTGGTAATACACTGAATATATCCAAAATACTATCATTTCAACATGGAACTACTAATACAGGAATTGATAATGAAACATCACTTTTCATGCAAAATCTTCATGTAAAACATCTCAATTTGTAGTACCCATATTCCAAATGCTTAATATCCACAGATAGCTGTAGTTACTGAGTCATACATGGAACATACATATCTCTAAATTCCCTGCTTTAGGAAGTGTAGCTGTTAATTTACTAAATCTATGTAGAATTCCATCTTCATAGTTACCTTGAAGTCTTGTTCAGCGACACTCTTAGTATGGACTCATTTATAGATTGTCTGTTCTCACTGGATTTTACTGACAGAATTCATCTTGGTAACAGACAAAGCTACTTAATTTTATTTTTCTTTCTTTGTTTTATGTAGCCCAGGCTAGCCTTAAATTTTCTGTTTAGCCATTGATGACCTTGAATTTCACTATATAGTTTAGATTGAACCTGTGAGCTCTGAGACTTCATTTCAGGTACCATGATGAGAATGTTAGGTAAAAACCAGTCCAGGCCTTTTATTATGGTGGTAGTGAAAGATTCTGGTGAAATTTCTTTATTCCTTTCTTTGTTCTCCAACTCTTATTTCACTTTTGTGATCCTACCTTGTGTAGTTCTGAGTGGTAGCAAACTCACTTTGTAGTCAAGGGTGACCTTTGATTGCCTCCACCCATGCCTTGCCTACTGGAAGTACATATGCTGTCACATCCTGCTTGTTGTATTTTCTGTGGCTTTTAAAAAATTATCCAAATTCTACATCTCCAATTTACATTTCAGTGGTCAGTGGGCATTAATTATCTTTCTGTGTCTTTTATCTAAGACATCAGGTTTATAAAAACCAGCAGTTGTACACTTAAGAACCTCTAAAATATTTATTGATGAAGTACCCTTGAGTAGATGCTATTTAGTTGGTATGCATTAATTCATCTCAATTAGACTTTCAGTGCTCAAGATCCTTTGGACAAATAGACCAGACATCTGGTGTTCCTCTTCATTTCTAACATTGATTTACATCGTAGGGGCACGATGATGAAGTGTTTGTTCTAGAAGCACATCCATTTGATCAAAGGATAATACTTTCAGCGGGTCATGATGGGAACATTTTTATTTGGGACCTTGACCGAGGGACCAAAATTCGAAATTATTTTAATATGGTAAGAAATCTCTGTTTATAAAGTTCGTATTAAATCTCACTTTGTTTTTTTTTCTTTGTTTTGATAACCCAGTTGCCAAGCAAAAGGAACAGCTTGTCTTCTATGTTTAAATCAGTGAAATCATTCAGAGAATGATTCAAGGGCTTAGGGTTAAATCTTTCAGCATGGCTATTTATCTTGAGGTTAGCAGTTTTCCAATTTTGATATGTACATCTAAACTGAATCGTTCAATCTGATTTTTTACAATTGTATTTAAAATGTAAGCTAAAATACCTAAAGGCCAATGTGTAAACTATAATTTCAACTTATGAATACAAAGAAAAAGCCTAAATCATAACTCTGTCTCTTATATAAACCTCAACTATATGAGTTTCATAGTTCAAAACTTATTTGGAAAATATATATTAGTATGTATACATGTTCTGTTATTGTTGTTGGAGGAAACAGTGTCTCATATAGCCCAAGTGTGCCTGAAATTGTCAGTAAACCAGAAATGACCTTTAACTCCTGATCCCCCTGCAGTACCTCCTGAGCGCTTGAATTGCAGGTGTGCACTTCCATACCTGGCTGTGGCTTATTTCTTTGAGACAGGATCTTCTGTACTGATATAGATGGTTGTAATAAAAATCTCATATAAGTTATGTAAAACATTGATTAGTTATCATGTGTCAGTAAAACACCATTCTTTCATGATGTGCATACTCATATCTTTCATGTTTAGGGTCCTTTTTTAAAAATAGTTCCCACCAAACAACGTTAAACTGTGCATGGACCTTTGAGTTCACTTCTAAAGACTTTATGTAGATCTCAAATCATTAATAATCGTATGTCTTTGGTTAGTTTATTTACATGGTTTAATTTTAAGATAGTTATTTAAAGGCATGTCTTAGAGCTTAAGATATAAAAATATCTTCACTTTGTTGAATAGCACCTTTGTCAATTTGCTTGCATATAGATCCTTTTAACTCTCCTCATTTATCCATTCATTATTTCATGAGTTACTATGTGAGGTGCAGCTGTTCATCCCATCCACCTCAACTTTATCCTCTATAATTATATTTCAGAGACTTACTGTTCACTCTAGGGTTCTAGCTACAGACGCCAGAGAGTGCATTGGAATGTTGATTCATCACAGAATTCAAGAGAAAAGTAGCCAGGAGAAGCTATTTCCTACTTAATGTTTGAGAAGGACTCTTAAAATGACTTAAGGGATTCCTCTGAATTTCAGATTGAAGGCCAAGGTCATGGGGCAGTGTTCGATTGTAAATTTTCACCAGATGGAAACCATTTTGCCTGCACAGATTCTCATGGTCATTTGTTGCTCTTTGGCTTTGGCTGCAGTAAATACTACGAAAAGGTTAGTATATATCATTTTTGTTGCAGATAATAATTTGGGATTGTACCATTCAGAATTGATTTTTTTCATTCTATGTATTCATGAAACATGGTACAAGTGTATATTGTATATTGAGCATATGTCCTTCCCTTTTCTCTGCCCCCACGTTAGTCCCCCCAGATAGTTTCACTTCTTCATTCATGTCATATATATAGATTGTTTTTTGTATTTATGTGAATTGTGGGGCCCATGTATGAGAGAAAACATCATGTTTTTTTTTTTTCCTTCAGTACGTTAAAATGTTCAGTGAACAAATTTCTCACCTTCCTTGGTTAGGTTTACCAAAAGATATTTTAGGTTTTTTTCTGAGGCTATATGAGTGGGGTTGTTTTCTTGATTTCTTCTTCACTATGTTTGCCACCAGTATAAAAAAAAAGGCTACTGATTGTTTTACATTAATTTTGTATCCTGCCACGTTCTTTGTTCTGTCAGCTTTATCAGCTCTAGAGTTTTAAAAGGTTTTTTTTAGATTGATTTATTTTATGTGTATGGATGTTTTTCTTGCATGTATTTATCTGCACCATATGCATGCCTGGTGCCTTGGGAGTCAGAAGAGGGTGCCCAGGAACTGCAGCTACAGATGGTTGTGAGCCACCATGTGGGAGCTGGGAATTGAATTCCGCAAACAGGGGCTATTAAATGCTGACCCATCTCTCTAGCCCCATGTGCTGAATTTAGAAACTCTTGTGTGTGGAGTCATTCTCTAAAAAGAAAGGAACTTTGATTTCTTCCTTTCCTGTTTGCATTCCCTTCATAGCTATCTCTCGTCTTAGTCTTCATAGACTTCAGGCACTGTACTAAATGAAAGTGAAGAAAATAGGCCTACTTGTTCTGGATGCTGGTGAAAATACTCGGAGTTTTACCCATTTAGTTTGGTACTGGCAATAGTTTTTTTATATTTATCTTTCTTATGTTGAGATATGTTATGCTTTTTGAATTTTTTGTATATTTTATATATATGGATATTTTCTATGTTTGTATGTTTGTACATCACATGCATGCTTGTTGCCAGTGGAAACAAGAAAAATGTGTCATCCCTTGGAACTGAAGTTACAAATGGTTGTGGGTACTAGTGATTGAACTGCTGTCCTCTGGTAGGGCAGTTTGTGCTCCTAACTGCAGAACTACCTGTCCAACCCATACTTTTTTGAAAAGGTTTTATTTTTATATATATACTTGGGTGGGGGAGGGTGGGTATGCTCACATGAGTGCAGGGCTTGTGGAGGATAGAAAAGGGCATTGGATCTCCCTGGAGTTGAAGTTGCTGGCAGGTGTGAACTGTCTGACGTGCGGTCCAGGAAATGGACTTCAGTCCTCGGGAGAAGGAGTGTGTACTCTTAACTGCTGTGCTATTTCTTCAGCCCCCAAGATAGGTTGCTTCTATTCTCCATTTCTTTAGCACTTTTGTCAAATCATCAGAAGTCTTTCTGAATTAAATGGATGATCGTATGGTTTCTGTCTTTGGGACTATTTATGTGATAGATTTATTGATTTATGTGGAATTATCTCTTCTGAATTGAAGCCAGCTTGATCATGTTGAGTGACATTGTTGATGTGTTCTAGAGTTTGGTTTGCAAGTATCTTATTTTTACTTTTATGTTCATTAGGGATACTAGTCTATAATTTTATTTTTGTTTTGCCTTTATATGTTTTTTTTATCAGGGTAATAATGTCTTTGTAAATAGACATTGGTAGTATTCTTTCCTTTTCTGTTTTATGTAGTTACTTGAGAAGCATTGGTGTTCATCCTTCTTTAATGGGCTGGTTGAATTCAGAAGCTTTTTTTTATTTGCGAGATTTTTTCTCTGATATTTTTAATTTTGTGGTTTGTTATAACTCGGTAAACTGTTTATCTCATTTCCATCTACTTTTGTGGCATCATATGTGTAGCCCTCCATCCATATCTTTTAGTTTTTCTGCTACAAAGCTGGCATCAAACTTACTGCAACTCTCTCCTCTGTCTTGGGAGACTGTGCTAGGATTATAGGCATGCTGTACCACACCCAACTGGTTCTTTGTATTTTATTAGCTATGAGTCTAGGGAGAGTGTGGAATCTTATAGTGGGAAGAGACATCATCATTGAGGTTAGCTCAATAGCTTTCCATGTTGATTTGTTGACGTTTATTATGCTCATCATGAATGTCATGCTTCATTTATTCTTAAATAAAAATAAGAACTCAAGTTATAGGTTTGTGTGTTTGCTATAAGTCAAATCAAAATACACAGCTTCTGATAGATTGTTGCCTTATTTCTTATTCTAATTAGGGAAATATGAGGTTCCCAAAATAATGCAAATCAGAATTTGGAGATAAGAAAACTACTATTTAGGTCATTTGTTTCTTCCTAGAGGAACATATGGTAACACAGAACTATGAGAGAATATAAAAGCTGTATGATTCAAAATATATGCTATAGGGATGAAAATAAGGGCCTGGACCATACATTCTCTGGTATGTTAAACACTAACAAAATGTCTGTCACAAAGATTCCAGATCAGATGTTCTTCCACACTGATTATCGACCACTTATCCGAGATGCGAATAACTATGTATTGGATGAGCAAACTCAGCAAGCTCCTCACCTTATGCCTCCCCCATTCTTGGTGGATGTCGATGGAAATCCTCATCCTACAAAATTTCAACGACTGGTACCAGGACGGGAAAATTGTAAAGATGAGCAGCTTATTCCTCAGCTGGGTTATGTGGCTAATGGTATGCTACCTCCTAAAGCAAATCTAAAATGTTGCAGATGGATAGTTCATACTAAATTCTGAAATGGGCCATAACATGCATTATATACTATTTGTATTCATTTTTACTTGTAGATTTCAGCTTACCAGAGTAGTTTTTTTTTTTTATTGTTTAGCTCTGCTGTGCAAAGTAATTGGTTTAGGACAAACAGTAACGTGCCCAAGAGGTAATTTGTTGACCTACCACAGTGGAAACCATTGCCATATGTATGACCTTGTTCTGCTTAGTGACTTCTGGTAATGATTAAACTTACCAACTTTACTATATTAAGCTTAATTGGTAAAATTATAGAATATGGATACTTCATTTTGAAAACTGCTAGTTAATGAAACCCCCAAACTGAGACTGGGTTTCTTTAGATAGATGTGTCAGCTGTGTGTCCTGTCTTTTCTGCTTGCTCATCCGTGGACTGCCTTTGTATTGGTTCACTTTTTCACAGTTTGCATTGAATTATAGAGGAGGAAGTTGTGGATTCGCAAATAGATTTCCTTGCCTCCTCAATTTTGTTTTTAAAAAATGGGATTTCACTATGTTTCCTGGGCTAGCTCAGAATTCTCATTTCTTCAGGCTTTAGCCTTCTTACTGTTGGTATTACAAGCATGTGCCACCATATCTGGCTTCTGAATTTCCTTTCTTTACTAGGAAATTGGTGATTGACCTTCATAGAATAAAATGAAGTAAACATTTGTAGAGCAATGTAGTAGTATTGGTTACTCTGATTTAATAATTATGAACCAAGGAGAAAAATGTGAATAATAAATAGAATATCAAATTGAAACTATCTAAATAAAAACTTCATTTAGCATACTTAATTTATTACAAGAATTAATTCCTTTGTTACTTTATCAAATCACATTTGATTTAATTACAGGGCAAGATGAAGAAGCAGGACATGATGCTTTTAAGAAAGATAAAAGTTAAAATTGTTCATTCAGAAGTAAAGTTTGAATTTGAATTTATCATAAAAATAATTTTTTACTTATTAAAACACTGGTGTTACAAAAAATATTTATTTATTTTAAAGCTCATACTTTTAACTTCTTTTAGAACGAAATTTTCATAAAAGGAAGGTGCAGAACATTCTAGGTAACTGTGAATAAACTTGTTTATAGTTTATAAATGACTCAGGCCAGGCATGGTGGCTCATACCTGTAATCCCAGCACTCTGAAGGCTGAGGCAGAAGGATTGCCATGAGCTCAAGGCCATGCGGGACTATATAGTGAGTTCCATGCCATGGTGGTTTACAGAATAAGACCCAATGTAAAAAAAAAATCTTGCTCACATCTCTAATTCTTGATTTTAGCTTTAGAATATAGCATATAGAAAACTTGTTTTTCAAGTGGATTATTTAACTTTAATGTTATAATTATTCCTTAAAATGCCTTGTTAATGTCTAATTTAGGGATATTGGTTAAATCAAATGCAAATGTTGAATCATTAAGTATAATTTTTAAAATTTCCATAAAATATTATTTCATGTATACTTTATTTTCATCTTAAATTATTTCTCATTACTTCTTTCACAGCTTATAAGTTAAGCTAACTTTTCTCTTTTTTTTACCATATTAAGGCATACTAAAAATGTAATAAATTTATCTGACTTTGTATCTTTGGTCTCATTAAGGTGATGGTGAGGTGGTAGAACAGGTAATTGGGCAGCAAACCAATGACCAAGAAGAAAGCATTCTTGATGGGATAATCAGGGAGTTACAGAGAGAACAAGACCTCCGACTAAACAACGAAGGAAATGTTCCACATTTTCCAACTAATAGATCATATTCTGTTAATGGTGGTAAGTAATTGTATATTTGTGGAAAGTATAAAAACTTTTACCATGTATAATGTGAAAACATTTCGTGTTTATAAATGTAAACATTTTTATTAATTTCTAACTTCTAATAGCAAGTATTCCAAAGTAGCGTGGTCTAATTATTATCATTTATGGCTAACGTTCACTTTCTAACAAATGTAGGTAGTGGATTTAAATACAGTATTCCTTCTGACTCAGTTTATTTTGCAATCTTTACTTTCGTTTCTAGAAATGAAGTCTTGGAATAAGTCTGGCCCTTTTATCAGGGGCCTGACCTATGAAGGTTTTAAACTTAAACCCCCTTTAGTTTGGAAAGTGCCATCCCAATAATTGGTCCCAGTTGTTGAAAGGGGAGCAGCATATCACCCTTTGCTCCTGAATGAACAAAATAGTTCAGTAGAAAAAGGTCTGGCCTTTTCTTAGAGAACCCAAATATGACCTCTGACCAGGCTTACACAATAGCTTCATCTTAATCCCAGTAGAAGTTATTATATAATTAATTATTCTTCCCCATTTACTTTGCATGTAAGTGTGTGTATATGTGGGTATGTGTATGGCCATGGGCTAGAACTCAGGTTACCTGACTTGAGAACAAGCACCTTTATCTGCTGAACTATCTTGTTACCTCTAACAGGAGTATTATTATTATCATCTAAAATACACACCTTCCTTCACTTACCATAAAATGTACCTCTGTATCTGATATATCTAATTTGTCAAGAAATGTGAGTTTTTTGAGACAGGGTTTCTCTGTGTAGCCGTGGCTGTCCTAGAACTCACTCTGTAGACCACGCTGGCCTCAAACTCGCAGAGATCCACTTACCTCTGCCTACTTATTGCTGTGATTAAAGGCATGAGCCACCTCTACCTAGCAAGTTTTTCTTAGTGCTAGGGATTGAACTCAACATCTTTTTTTTTTTTATTTATTATGTGTACAACATTCCTTCCATGTGTGCCCGCAAGCCAGAAGGGGGCACCAGGTCTCATTATAGATGGCTGTGAGCCACCATGTGGTTGCTGGGAATTGAACTCAGAACCTCTGGAAGAGCAGTCAGTGCTCTTAACCACTGAGCCATCTCTCCAGCCCCATGAACTCAACATCTTAAGGAGCAAAGTCTCCACCACTCAACTACATTTTGAGCCCATTAGTTTTGTTTGTGATTAAGTCTTGCTGTGCTGTCCATGGTGGCCTTGAAGTTGTGGCCATCATGCCTTGCCCACCAGAGGACTAGGTTCCAAGGACCTATACCACTATGCCCGATTGTTTTGTTTTCTACTTACATAATTACTGTACTTTTTGGTAAAATCACGTATAGGGTTGCACAGAAGTAAACATATGTAAATTTGAAGCAACACACAGAGTATTTTGCTTATTTCTTGAGTTATTTCACAAAATTATGATAAAACAGTTCTTCATATGGGTCCCTTGGGGCATCTAACTCAGTTAAGTTTTCCTGAGCTTTGGACAAGGTTAGAAGTAGAGTGGCAATCCTGTATTGCAGAGTTCTTAGGTCTCCAATTTAGATCTTCATTAGTGCAATCAATATTTAGCTCTGCTTCCAACACTAAGTTGTTGTAGACTGAAATTCCATCAGCTAAGGGAACCCCACTCACTTCTATTTGCAATGCTCATTTTGTTTGGATTGTTTTTGAGTGTTGATTTCGATTGCAGTTTTCTATTTGTGTTTTATTTGCAAATATAATAATAAGAAGCTTACTAGTGTTTTCTTACATTGCTTATTAATTTTGAAAGTGAAATTTGAAATTAAAAATGTTTTGCTAGCTGGATGTTATGGCTCATGCTTTAAATTCTGTCATAGGGGCAGCTAATGCCTTAGAATCAGTGGGTTCAAGGTCACTCTGAGATGCATAGTGTGTTTCTGAACAGCCTGGGTTACAGAGTGAGACGCTGGTTGTTGTGGTTTTGGGTTTTGGTTTTGGGTTCTCTCTCTCCCTCCTCTCTCTCTCTCTCTCTCTCTCTCTCTCTCTCTCTCTCTCTCTCTCTCTCTCTCTCTCTCTCTCTCTCTCTCTCTCTGTGTGTGTGTGTGTGTTTTCAGTTGCTCTCCTTATTTTTTGTGACTGTCTCTTACTGAACCTACTGCTCACCAAGACTTCTTCTCTCTGCTTCTCGGCTGCTGGCATTATAGGCACAACACACGACACTGGAGCTGGGTGCTAGGAATTCAGACTCAAGTCCTCACGCCTGTCTGACAAGCACTTTCCTGACTCAGTATCTCCCCAGTGTCTGCTTGTACTTTTCAATTTTTTGTTTTGAAAGTTTTATAAGTTTTACATTATTTTTAGCAAGTGTTATACTCTGTAGCCTAGGCTAGCCTACAACTCGTAATCTACCTCAGTCTCCCAAGACTTAGAATTCCATGTGTACATCTCTACACTTAGTTTACTGACAGTTGTCCTAATTAAGTAAGCAAAGATAGAATTTAGATTTTACAAGGATTTAAATTGAATTGTTAGTCTATATATATATGAATCTTTCAGATAATATTTGGACAGGGTTGTGTATTCTGTATCTAGTAAATGTCTGATAAGTGGTGCCTTAAAAACGAAAAGAATTATACAAAATTTCAGCATTTATTGGGTACTTGATATTATTTATAATAATATAGAAACATGAAGATGGCACAGAAAAAATGTAGAACAGGGGTAATAATTACTTTCATATTTCCAGAAATCGCTTTCTGTTTTTCCTTCTTGCCTCTGTTATTTTTGGTGCTAGGGATCAAATCTAGGACTTTGCTCATCCTAGGTAAGCAATCTTTACAGTATCAGCCCCAAACAGCCAGTCTTTGAAACTTAGATCTTCTTTAGCGCTCTAATCTCCATCACTGGTATATTTGTTCAGAACATTGTGGTTTTCCTTGCTTTTGCTTTAGCTCTGAGTAGTCCAAATATGGACATACCCTCTTCTCCAAATATTGGGCTTCGGCGTAGTGGTCAAATTGAAGGTGTTCGGCAAATGCATAACAATGCTCCTAGGAGCCAGATGGCCACTGAACGAGATATCATGGCCTGGAGCAGAAGAGTGGTGGTAAATGAACTAAATAATGGAGTTAGTAGGTGAGTTGACATGGTAACCTTCCTAAGAAAATTCAAAACTGTATATTTACAAGAGAATTATGTTAAATTACCCTAGTAACTGAGATATTCTAATCAAGCTGCATCATATGTTAGTTTTTCCATATCAACTGACTGTAATTAGCTTATTTTGTGACAAATATCCTCCTAAATGTGCTCAGCTTTTGATTAATGCCCTGGGAAATACTGAGAAGGTGATGCATTCTTGTGCCAGTGTGTGGGCTTATCGTCTAAGGGTAAGAATACAGATACTAAGACAGAATTCATATTAGAGCACATGTGAACCTGAGTGGCATATTGACTATGGATTAACAGTGATCCAAGAAAAAGGTCACCAGCTAAGTATTGGAGCAGTATGAGTATGCAGTGTAAATGTGCTTTAAAATGTCATTCAAATAGTCTTCACTGGTGAAAGGATTTTGTTGGCATAATTTCAAATCTACAATCACGATTCTTACTTGTAAAACTACCTTTTTTATAATAACAACTGTATAATCACAAGTAGAGATGGGTTATATATATATTATGTATAATATATATGTGTGTGTGTGTATATATATATATATATATATGAACTATTCCAGAGAGCATATATTTTAACCATACCATCTAACCAAGTATTATTAGCAGATAATCCCAAAGTAGCAAAATATATTAAATCCTATTTTCCCCCGCTGCCTTCTGATATAAGTAGGAATCAAGAAAAAAGCTAATTTTATGAGTTGCAACTGCTAGAATAGAGAAAATTCAAAGAACTCCTTACTTAAAAATAAACAAGCAAGCAGGGAATTAGATATTTGTGTGCTAATAGTCATTGCGGTGTTATTCAAGTGAAAAAACTAAATATCAATCAGTAAATAGATTATCAAATATGATTTAGCATACAATGGTATTTTTTTCTTTTTTTCTTTTCTTTTTTTTTTTTTTTTTTTTTTGGTTTTTCGAGACAGGGTTTCTCTGTAGCTTTGGTGCCTGTCCTGGAACTAGCTCTTGTAGGCCAGGCTGGCCTTGAACTCACAGAGATCCGCCTGCCTCTGCCTCCCGAGTGCTGGGATTAAGGGCGTGTGCCACCACGGCTCAGCTACAATGGTATTTTATTAGTCCATAAAGAAGCCATTCTAATGAATGAATAAAATTTGAAGCTGTCTTGCCAGGTAAAAGAAGACATAACACAAAAGGACAAATAGTGTGTAGCTCTACTTAACATAATATTTAGAGCAGGAAAATTCATAGACATAGTACCAGATAGTAGAGGCTTTCAGGGCCTAGAGGAAAGGGGAAATGGGAAGTAACTGCTTAATAGTTTCAGGTTTTATCTTGGAAGTGATTGAAAAGTAATGGGGATGGGTGGTGGTGCTGATTGCAGAACATTGCCACTGAAGAATATCGCTAAAACGATTACAGAGCTACATTTTCTATTTTGAAATTGTTTAATTTTCAGAGTTGATGTTTAAACTCTTGGATTCTTTTTCTTATTTTATTAGGGTTCAAGAGGAATGTCGCACTGCGAAAGGTGACCTAGAAATTAGTCTTTATACAGTCGAAAAGAAGAAAAAGCCATCTTCTACTAGCCAAAGAGTAAGTTTGCTTCTTTAGTGCTTTCAAATCCTATGTTTGCAACTAAAAATTATTTGAAAGGCAATAGTTATCTATCAAGAGAGTATTTAAATTGGCATCTGCTTACAGGGATCTTAATTTTTTTAACCTCAAATCCATATCCATACATGCATGTGAATGGTTATTAACAGAAAAAATTTAAATAAAAGGTTGTCTTTTAATGTATATGTATAAAATATTATTTTCATTTTTAAATGCAATCGTGATTTTCTATTGGTTATCAATCCAAATGTGAAACAAATGCTGTATCCATTAGGATAGAGGTTGTCACGCTTATGTATGAAATCCTTGGTTTTACTTAATTATATTTTATTGAAGTAAGGCAAATATTCAATTATGGCTTGCCTTTAGTTGTTTTTATGTTATATATAAAGAGAGTTGAGTAGTTGGAATAAAAATGATATGACCTAGAAAGCCAGACATTCTTCTGACCCTCTACAAATAGTTTGCCAACCCTTGTATAACCTATCTAACCATGTAAGCAAAACCTAACTATACGCTGGGATGTACTAGGTTCATTTCCCAGTAGACCCTGCTATGCAATGGATGAGATACCTGTACTGCATTTGGCCTAACTAATAAGCTTATGAAATCTTCTCATTCACCAGCCAAAAGGAATCAGGATGTAAACTATTTCTTCCCGAGTTATAACCCCTCTGTAGAATATAGTTAATTGGATAATTTTCAGTGTTTAAAGAAAAGCTAAGTAGTGTATTCTGAATTTTAATAATTTTTTCTCTGTCAATGAACAAAATTAGGGATAATTATCATAAATACCTTAAAATATTTGTACATGATTCTGATATCTGCTTTAAATTTTTATATTTAAGCTTATTCCATCTCTAGTATGAATCTAATTAATGGTTTATTTTGTTTTGCTTATTTGCCAATAATTAGTTTATCTGGAAATGCTAGGGTTTAGAGTAGGTATATAAGCATTTAGGTATTTAGGCTGGAATTTAGACATTTTCATATACATTTGAAGACCACAGAAGCCAGACATGGTAGTGTGTATATGTAATCCCAAAATTTGGGGGGCTGAGGTAGAAAGGAAATGATAGTTTGAGGTCACTCTGGACAACATAGTAATATTTACATATAAGAAAAAGAAACTGACCTTTCAAGACTAGTTTATAAGAGTTTTAAAGTTACTCCCAATGACATTAAGGCTGTAGCTTTGCTTGTGATAGTATCAACCATAATGATTTCTACTTATAGATATTAGATATTGTACAAAGGTAGATACTACACTAAATTTTCCTTGTTAAAATGAAGTATCTTTTCTTAATAGGCTCTTGCTGTAACTCTGGCTAGCTTGGAAGCCCTGGCTAAGCTGGGGCATCAGTTGAATTCCGTGTTACTACTATAATTGTGTCTTTTACATTGTTCACAAGTAGTAGGACTGAATTCCAGTGAGAGAGAAGAAGTTAAGCATGGCATAGTTTCTTGCTTGTTATCTAATTGCACACTTTTATGCTCAAAAATTTGAATTTTTTAGTTTTGGCTTTGGTTTCTGAGATAGGATCTTTCTCTATAGCCCCTGTTGGCCTGGAACTTACTATGTAGACTGCTAATCTTGCACACAGTGCTCTTTCTGCCTGTTGTCCCTTCAATGCTGGAAATACTTCCAACCCTTGCCTCTTTTCACAGGTTTGGGGATTATAAGTATGTGCCACAATATCTGATTTGGATGGTGCTTTTTATATGTGTATTACTTCGAGTCTTAAATCTTCTATTCTTATGTAATCTAAAGCTTATTTTATGTCTATCGATTCTCTCCTGGCATTTTTCTACAAGGAATATTTGTTAAATTGATTCTTAAAATTATTTTTCTGGGGCCAGGGATATGGCTCAATAGTTAAGAGCACTGGCTGCTCTTACAGAGTGTTCAGATTTGATTCCTTGTAAGTCACAATCATCTGTAACTCCTGTTTGAGGGGAATCGATGCACTCTGGCCTCCACAGGTACAAGGCAGGCATGTGATCTACAAATAAATATGTGCGGAGGCCAAACAGCCGTACACATAAAATGAGAAATAAATTCAAATCAGCTTGTTTTGTTTGTTTTGAGCCAGGGTCTCACTCTCTAGCCCAGGCTGTCCTTGAACGTACTGTAGTCCTTCTGCTTCAGTTTCCCGAGTTCTTGGAATACAAGTGTGAACAAGCGTGTAAAGCTGTGTTAGATTGATTCTAAAGATCGTTACTAAACCTTAAGAATCTTAAGACTGCTAATCTGGAATGAAAGAAATATAAATGATTAAATCTAATTGGTCATGCTAATGCTTTTACAGACTTTCTTATATTTCTTTTTAAAGTTATTTAAGGATTACATTAACTATAATATGGATGTTTATTCCTGCTATGATAATTGTGAATAATGTGTCATGTAAACTCTGAATGGGCAAATTCTTGCCACCGAGGTATTCAGTGTTCAGTTTTGTACTATTTCTTCTTTTAAAATAGGTTTCCCTTCTCTTTTACAGAATGATCATCAGCCTAGCTGTGGGCGGTCTTTACGGAGGACACAGCGCAAGCGTCAGCATACTTACCTAACACGGTCCAACATAGAGCATAATTCACAGGCATCATCTCAAAATGCATGTGTACAAGAAGATTCAGACAGCTCCTCGGAGGTTAGATCTGCTGTTATTTATTCTAAGTTACTTCTTTTGTTGATTTTGTACAATTTATTCAGGTTTCCTTTTGCAAGTCACTTGAATAAGAAATGCAGAGGTTTACTTATTAATAAGCGCATACACAGATTTGGGTGTTCCATTGAACACTTCGGATTGTCTTTCCTGATTTCTACCTAAGATACTATCTCGGCAAGGGTGTAGCATGTGCCACCCAAAGCTTGTCTTTGTGACAGTGAGATAAGATAGTGACAGAAAATCTTCCTAGGCATGAAACATAAATAATAGAAATAAGGAGAACAGTCCCAGGACTGATTCATTCTGTAATTAACTTATATATCCCTTTTATTTTATTTTATTTTTATTTCTGACTCTATCTATTCCAGAAGTCATTGAGTATTGATTTTCCACAGACCTATCTTCATCATGACAGTGAAGAGAGTGTATAGCTGCTCTTTTCCTCTTGTTCCTTTGTTCCCCAATCCTCTTGTTCGTTTAACAACTCTATTTTTTAGATCCATAATGAGAGTTTTATTGACATTAACATTATAGAGTACTTTATTTCTTCTACTATTCACAGTTTTTAAAGTAATATTTCCCTTTTCCTCCATGAATATCTTGACCTTAAAATAATACTCACAATATATTTAAAGCTATTTTTTAGCATTTAAGAAGACTATAAGTATTTTGAGATTTAAACATTTTTCTAAAGAAACAAAAATGTTTTATATCAATAAAGAGTATAATACCAGACACCATAAAATACCCACTAGGTTTGTTTGTAAATTTGAGATATAATTATGTACATTTTAGCTAGGATGTTTGATGAAGTAATAAAGTGCTGTACATCAAATAGGTTTTTTTCTATATTATACTAGCTGATACTAAATATATTTAATTGCCTTCTCTTTATTATAGGAAGATGAAACTGTTGGCACAAGTGATGCTTCTGTAGAAGACCCTGTTGTTGAGTGGCAAAGTGAAAGCTCTTCCAGGTAGTTCCAATTGACCTCAAATTATTCAAAATTTAATTTCATGAAATTATGATTTTGTAGGAATTTGATAAAACCAAAGATAAAATAGTGTCATGTATTGCAAAAAAATTCTGGGTTTGAAGCCCATGTACCATATATTTATTCATGACTCCCAATACTTTCTATGGATATAACTATAGAGGTGTTGTTTCTTTTACCTGTGAAATAAGCTTCATGTTAAATTTATGATTGTACTTCTATGCAATTTTATATAATTATTTCAGGTTTTGGTCTTTTGATATAGAGTATTATTATGTAACTCTGGCTGTCCTAGAACTCACTAGACCAAGCTGGCTTTAAACTCTCACAGATCTGCCTATGTTATTAAAGGTGTGCACCTTATTTAAAACTTTATTTTAGTTTTAAAACTATATCTCCATTTCAGTCATAAGATTCATGTTTATTTTTAGGCAGTTTTGTGTTTCCAGCAAGGATTTTTAAATCCTGTCATAGCAAATTCAGTAATTTTTATTCTGAAAGCATTTCATTAAAATTAAATAGTGATAAAAATTTTGTATTTATCATGCTACTTTTTCAGTCCTTGTCTTGTAAGTGCTGTTTCATAAGAAAATGATGACTTTTCCATCATAATTTTGATTTCTTGCCAGTGATTCATCAAGTGAATATTCTGACTGGACAGCGGATGCTGGGATAAATTTGCAGCCTCCCAAGAGACAAACGAGACAGGCGGCGCAGAAGATCTTCAGCAGCTCTGAAGATGAAAAGGTGAAGCCCTTAGAAGATAGGAAGAAGAAGACTAAGCAGACGAGAAAGAAGGTTTGTAATACAGAAATCGCTTTGTTTTGCATTGTTTTTTTTTTGCCTCCAATATTTGAATATTTTATAGTGACATTTGCTTTTCCTCTAAAAATGTCGATTAAAAATTTTAATTGACTTGAAATAATTGTTCCTAATTTCTTGTTATTCAAAGGTACAGTTAATTGCCATCATTATGTTATTAAATCAGAACATTGACAGTTGCTTGTAAAAATGTAGCAAAGTTCTACAAGAATAAGCCATCGTAATAAAATAAAATTCTTCTTGTCATTACCCAATTATAAATTTGTATTCCTATAAACATTTTACTCATAGGATAAAAGAGTTTGAATTTATATTTTATTTTACCTCATTATCCTTTCCACCAATATAATTTAATTTAAGGGACATAATACTTTAATCTACATACTTGTCTGAATTTCATAGTTTGTTTACCTGTTAATTTTTGTGATAATATTATACTGTTTTTATACTTTCTATTTTAAAAGGATTGCTGTTCTCTAAAAATCTAATATCTAAATGGAAAATGGCTGATTCCATTAAATGAGCTCTGCACATTCTTCTTATACAAAATGTCAAAGATATTAATGCACTAGTGCAGTAATCCTGTTGTATTAGTACATACAAATACTAGGGGATGAACCTACTGCTTCGCACACTACCCCTGAGCTATATACCAGCTCTTTTATCTACTTTTCCATTTTCAGACAGAATCTCAAGTTCCCCAGACTGGCCTTGAACTTTCAATTCTTCTGTCCCAACTTCCTGAATATCTGGGATTACAGACCTGCAGCATCTGGTCCATCTTTTATTCTTAATAGTCACTATTGTATTATTATTTGAGTTGATATAGTCTAGAAACATGAAGAGAAAAAATGTGTTATTATTAGATGATAATATGTCAAGCTATTATCTGTGATCCAAAATTGAACTGCTTGATTTTTTGATATAAAATAAATGTATAGTTTCTATTGGATATGTTTAAAACTTAAATATTTTCAGTGTGCATGAAACCTGCTATTTTACATAATTTTTTGTCTTTTTCATACTACTATTCATGAGTCTGCACTTATGAACCATTGTTACAAATACTGTAATTGTTATTTGATTTGTTTTGTTTTAGAAAGGGGGACTTGTTTCTATGGCAGGCGAACCCAATGAAGAATGGTTTGCCCCTCAGTGGATCTTGGATACTATACCACGGCGTTCTCCATTCGTTCCACAGATGGGAGATGAGGTACTTGTTGTCCAATAAAAACGTACTGGCTTTGTGGGAGCCTAGGCAGTTTGGATGCTCACCTTACGAGACCTGGATAGAGGTGGGCAGTCCTTGGGCTTCCCACAGGTCAGGGAACCCTGATTGCTCTTCGAGCAGATGAGGGAGGGGGACTTGATCGGGGGAGGGGGAGGGAAATGGGAAGCGGTTGCAGGAACGAGACAGAAATCCTTAATAAATAAATAAATTAAAAAAAAAAAACCCTTTTGATTCAAGAACACTATTGGGTTTGAGAGATGGCTCAGCAGTTAAGAGCACCAACTGTTCTCCCAGAGGACCTAGGTTCGATTCCCAGCACCACATGACAGCTCACAACTGTCTGTGACACCAGTTACACAGGATCTAATGCCCTCTTCTGGCCTTTGTGGGCACTACGCATACACAAGGTGCACAGACAGCACATTCATTCAGGCACATAAAGGAAAATAAATCAACAATGACAGAATATTTCCTTTATTATAAAAAAGAAACAATTAACATTGTTTGGTGGGGGTGGCACACGCCTTAAATCCCAGCACTTGGGAGGCAGAGGCAAGTGGATCTCTTGTGAGTTCAAGGAAACCCTGTTCTACAGAGCAAGTTCCAGGACACCGAGGACAACATAGAAATCCTGTCTCAAAAAAATCAAACCAAATAAACAAAAGAACAATTAACACTATTCAATCTTAGTATCTTATATTGGTTTAATTTTCTAACTTTATTTATTATTGAGCATATGTGTATAATTGAAGGCAGCACAAGTGGAGGTCAGAGGACAGCTCTGTGGGATCATTTCTTTCTACCTGTGACATGGGTTCCAGGAACTAAACTCAGGTCACAAAACTTGCACATCAAATGCCTTTAATGACTGAACCTTCATATCGTAATTCTGTACTAATTATATATGTGCTATCGTTTCTTTATTCAGTTGTATATATAATTAATTTTGCTCCCTTTGTAGAGGTCTGGAATAATGTAGTCAACATAGTAGATACTAGGTTATTTATGATTTCTAAAGTTATAAAAGCAGTTGATTTTTGATTGGAAGTTTGAGAATTGAGTGGTACTTTGAGTCCTCAATCAATCAATAACTAATATTGTTTTAAAAATTCAGTATGTTAGAAAATATGCTTAAACAGGTATGTCTCACCCAGAATACCTAGGAATGTGGCCCAACCCATTTGTTTATATTACGTTCCAAGGTCAAAAAGTTCTACACCTGTGCTAACGGATAATTCCTGAGTCTCTGGATAAATGTAGATACTCATTTATAATTAGGCATAAAAAAATCTAATAAAATATTACCCAGTAGAAACGTTGAGTGTGTTAGTGAAATTATGGTTACCTTGGAATATCATTCCTTTAGGAAGATTGTTTTGTCTGGTCTGTTGACCGACCAAATATTGAAACCTTTTGTGTGTGTTGGGGCTAGAACCCCGGGTTGATACAAGCTAGGCAGTTGTACCATTGTGTTGCACTCTCGGCCTCTGCACACCATTTTGAATTCAGAATTAATAGAAATGTAAAAAGGACAAGTGAATAGGTTTAAAATGAGACCAAATACAAACGTGGTCTATTTTTTTCTTAAAGAGATCTTGTAGCAGATTTAGCTGTCGAATAACATGAGTAATTTATCTTTTGTTTATTTTCTTTAGGAATTATTAAAATGTTTCTTTTTGGTGTATGTTGGACTTTTGGCTAGTGTTTGTTTACAGTAATTACTATGCTAGTAAGCTTCTGATGATATATTAAACAACTTCAAAAGCCTCATAATTTTTGACAGATCTGAAATTATAATTTATTCTACTTAATGCCTATTTTGAGACATTTGAGATCTGTGGTAAACTTAAATTAATTTTAGAGGACTTTACAGAACAAATAAGCCTCTGTATCCTTTTAAAGTCTGATGAGACCCTTCTCTACACTTCATGACAACTTCTGTCAGTTCATGTCTTGATGGAATCACTTAAACTGATTTTATTTTATTAAACTGATTGTATCATATGCTTCAAGATTATGTATTAGGCTATGGCAGTTGTTTGGGGGAATGGAGAAAGTTTTGTAGTGAATCCAACAGTTGAATAGCAATTTGAGAATGTTTTTATTAAGAGCTCATAAAGGAACAAATGTACTGTTCATGTAATTAGTTTCTTAATTACAGCATTACTTACTACTTTGTCTAGCTATTAAGCCCTTGTTGTTTTGCTTAGAATAACCCTACTAATAAATGATTGCTCCTCAGAATGCTCCTTCTTAAAGGTCTAACTCAAATGCCAAATTCTGTTTTGCCCATAACTAATTCTATGTGAATTTTTATACCCACTGTGTGTGTGTGTGTGTGTGTGTGTGTTATGCTACTTTCCCTTAAAGGAAAATAGTACATTTTAATACCTTATGATTGCATCTAGTACCTTGTACTTAGACGTTTTGTCAATATTAACGATTTCCTTAGTTTGGATTTTAACTGTTATGATTTTTATATACTAATATTTCAATATTTTTATTTTCTATGTAGGTTTTTTATTTCTTGTTTTGTTTTTTGTTTGTTTGGTTTTTTTTTTTTTTTTTTTTTTTTGAGGTAGGGTTTCTCTGTGTAGCCCTGGCTGCCCTGGAACTCACTGTGTAGACCAGATTGGCCTCGAACTCACAGAGATCCATCTACTTCCCTCCTGAATGCTGGGATTAAAGGTGTGCGCCACCACTGCCCAGGTCTCTGTGTAGGTTTTTTATTCATAGAGTATGCTTATGTATTTGTTTTGGCTTTATATAATAGGAATTGTTCTCTTAAACCATTTTGAAAGGTGAAAGTACTTTAATGTGGCACTGGCAGATCTGTGTTCTCTTCCAAATCTCTAATACTGAATCCTCCCCACTTCACCTAGCTTTGGGTCATTCTCAGAATCCGTGGTGTTTATCACATGTGGCAACATTACTTCAGTTTCTGTCCTCCCTTCATATGGCAGTCTTCCTTCCAATTCTCTCTGTATTCGCTTTCCATCTTCTCATCTGGACAGTTGTTTAGGGTGTACATACATCTGCTAGGAGCTCAAGGGCTCTTAAATTGATTATATCTACAAAGGTAGTATTTTCCGAGTAAGGTCAGAGTCGTGTGTGTGTGTGTGTGTGTGTGTGTGTGTGTGTGTGTGTGTGTGTGTGTGTGTGTGTTTGGGTACACTGTTAGTGCAAAACCAACCCCTGCATTTGAGAAGAGAGCAATGAAAGTTCAGGAGCATTTCACTGAAGACAAGGAGAAGGGAATTGGCCTTACTTAAGTGCTGCCACTGTGGCAGGAAGAGCAAGGGGCCCAGAGGGGACCTAGGGCTCTCTTATTCTCAAATAGTAGTATCAGCAATGTACCTAAATTAACCACAATGCTGTGTCCACAGCCTGATGCCTCTTTTATGTGCTCGCCTGATAGTATTTGTGATTGGGAAACGCATTTTTGTCTTCTCCATAAACTTCAATCAATATGTGTATTTATAAAACTGAACTTATAGTAGTAGTTCTGTCTTACAGGAATGCTGGGACGATTGGTTAGTATATTGTATGTGAAGAATAGTCTCTTACACAAGAACAAATAGGAAGTGTAGCTGTTACTACAATTTGGCCAGTGCTACATGGTATGAAATATTTGAGTCATGTCACAATGTCCTATTTACAGATGAGATGACAGAATTAGAAAGGTAAGCAAGTTGGCCAAATTTGCATATAATTAGGTGTTAGAATCACAGCATACTGGTACAGAACTTTCAAATCCACAGCCTCTCGTGCTTTTATGAGAACTCGTCTACAGGCCTCAGCTAAAGATGAGAAATTAAATTCCTTGGGGTAAAGGAGGAGAGTAATCTTCCTCATACCTCACTGTGTATTTTAAACTCTGCTAATATGGTATTTTATGATACCTTTGTCTGCTTATGCTTATTTCTGTCAGCATTCTGAAACCACTGAGGAAAAGAAATTTTCTTCAATAAGTATAGAAAATAGTAGTAAATATTATCTTTCAAAAATTTGAAGTGTCTTACCAAACACTTGAATTCATTTCTTCTGTGCTCAGCTTGTGCCAACATGAACTCTTGCGACAGAACAGTTTTGAATTTGTCTTAAAAATGACTTCATTTGCATGCTGCATGCAGTCACTTTCCCAGGCAGCTTCACACTGAAGAAAAAAAAAACACCCTGAATGTACACAAAACTAGTTGCTTTTCAAAGAATTGTTTAAGCTTATAAGTAGCATTCTAAAAATGTGTATTTAAATTGTTGTTGAGAGTGGTAGCTTTCCTTATGACACTTTCATGAAGGCTTTGCTTTGCTTGATCCCTCCGCTCTTGTCACCTACATCTTTCTGCCCTACTTCTCCCCCTGTGGCCTGCCACTTTTAGTCCTTTCTACTTTAATGTCACAGGTGTTCTATTGCCCTCCCCTCCCCCTTCCGTGAAACTGACTTTTCCTTCTCCTAGACCTCTCTTTTCTTCAGTTGACTTTTGCAGCTGCTTGGGAGATAACAAGCACATTTATTATTTAAGCAATGTGAAATTTGGCACAGGGTTAGAGAGACATGAGTATTGAGTGAGTATCTTTTGACCAGGAAAAGGTTTGAAAAATTGTAATTATTTTATGTAACGGGAAGAGGCTGTTTAGACATTATGTATTGGGAAGTGTAGAGTTAAAATAAATATGACTGTGTAATAAATACATTGTTTTCTGTTTTAGCTTATTTATTTTAGGCAAGGACATGAAGCTTATGTGAGAGCTGTGAGGAAATCAAAAATATATAGTGTTAATTTACAAAAACAGCCATGGAACAAAATGGATCTCAGGGTGAGTTTGCTTGATGGGCATGAATACAATCAAGGGTTTGGGGATTAAGTGGCTTTAAGCTTTTTTTTTTCTCAATTTTACAGATATTTTGGTGATGTTGCATTTCCTAAATTAATGATATATGATATTTTATAGAATGGATTATATATATATGTGTGTGTGTGTGTGTGTGTGTGTGTGTGTGTGTGTACATTTCTTAAAATTTGGATGCTAGGATATATTGATTCGTACTATAATCCCAGTTCTTGGGAAGCTGAAGCAGAAATGCTGGAAAGTGAAGCCAGCATGGACTACAGGTGAATTCCAAACCAGCCTAGGTGATAGTGTGAGACTCAGTATCAAAGAAAACAAACTGGAACAATCTTTAAAAAATGTCTATAGGGCTAGAGAGATGACTCCGTGGTTAAGAGCACTTGCTGAGGACCAGGATTCGGTTCCCAGCACCCACATGGTGGCTTCTGTAACTACAGTTCCAGGGGATCTGGTGTTCTCTTTTGGCCTCCGCAGATAGCAGGCCCTCACTTGGTATACGTACATACAGGCAAGCAAAGCAGTCATATACATAAAATAAACTATTAAACAATTTTTAACCTTCACCTTATCTTATTTGCCCTAGTTTCCTGTAAGCTTTGGATCCTTGTGTTTTTGCCATTCCTCAACTACAGAAAAGCAGACATTCCCTGGTTTGAATGTTTTCCCTATCAGCAATTGTGTACATTCCCGAGTAAACTGTGTGCTACAGACATTCTCAAGGTTCTGGTAGTTTGGAGATAGGTTAAATAAAGAAGCATAGATACTTGTATTCTGTGGGATCATCTATTTAGATGTAATACCCACATTTCTTTATAAAATCAAGTAAAGTAGATAGTTATTTCTGTTGAAGAATTTTATGTCAGTTAATATGAAATATGTATAGTCAGGCATAAGTATCCCTTTTTGAGTTTTATTTCTGTTTTTTTCCTGACTTAGAGAAAAATAAAAAGCAGTTTTACTATAATTTTTTATGGAAAATGAAGAGTTGATGTTTGCCTTATCTTGAAAATAAAGGAGAAAAATTCAGATATTTAAATATTTTCAGATCAAATAATCTTTTAAGGTGTTAAAATATCTTATCCAGTCATCTTCATATGATCATCTCTATTGCCTGCTCATCTACTTAGAATCAAATGAGAACTGAGTACTCTTCTCGAACCAAGGGAATGGATAAATATAATGTCTTATTTCTAATCACAGCACTGTGGTGTAGAAAATTATTCAGGGGTAGTATGTATCAGATATAAGAGCATGGGCTTTGGAGTAAGACTTGAATTTCAGCCCTAGATCTTCTATATGCTGTTCTATAATTTTAATCAAGTTACTGGATCCAGAAAGAGTAATCAACTGTAAGATTGTGATGCAACACTATCTAAAAAATCTGTCATCTCAAACACATGTACATATAAATCTGTATGATTATTTATTAACTTTGATAATAGGGTGGGTGTTTGGGGGGTGTTTTTTTTTAACTTGACAGTATCACAGTTCCCTTAGAAGTTTGTTTTATTTTAATAATTTTTATTTTTGAGATTATAAATTAATTACATCATTTTCCCTTCTCTTCTTGTCAAACTCTGCTGTGTAGCCCTTGCTCTCTTTTGAATTCATGATCCATTTTTGAATAGTTTCTGTGACTATACACACACACACACACACACACACACACAAACTATTTAATTTGTATGTTACTTATGTGCATATTTTAGGGCAGACCATTTGGAATTAGAGGTAGTTTGTGTATACATAGTTGGTGAGTTCTTCCCTGGAAGAGACTACTGTTTCTGTAACTCTTAATTGCCCATAGTTTTTTTTCCCCCCAGGGTTGAGGCCTGTTGAGCTTTCCCCTTTCCAAGTTAGCATGTCTGTTGTCTAAAATGCAATGTTGTAGAACCTGATATATCTGTAACACAATTCTTGCACCAAGGCTCCAGAATTGTTGAGAAAGAGGAGGGCGGAAAGAGTCTAAGAGCCAGAGGAACAGGGGATTTACTGTGAGATTGCATATCCTAAAAATGTCAGAAGTTTGCTTTCCAGAACTTACAAACTTTGCTAGTTAGGCTTATTTACAGCCTTGTGTCAACCTGTTGAGCATCCTTTTTGGTTTTGTTTTGGTCAAGACAGGGTTTGTCTGTGTAGCTCTGGCTGTCCAAAAACTTGCGCTGTAGACCAGGCTGGCCATAAACTCAGAGATCAGCGTGCCTCTGCCTCCTGAGTTCTGGGATTAAAGGTGTGCACCACTACCACTCATTTGTTTTTGTTTTTATTTGTATGGGGTTTCGTGTGTGTGTGTGTGTGTGTGTGTGTGTGTGTGTGTGTGTGTGTGCGCGCGCGCGCGCACGCGTATGCATGCAGGTATTCATCTGCTATGGTACACACGTGGACATTACAGGACCGCTTTTGAAAGTTGGTTTCCACGCACACTATTATTTCTGGGGATTAGCAGAAGTTGTCAGACTTGCACAGCAAGCAGTCTTACCCACTAAATCATCTCCCTGACCTTAACCTTAAATATTAAGGTTCAAGAGACTACCTTTACCTTAATGTAGTTGCCATCACTTGATGAATATTCACTTGTTTTTTTTTTATTCAACAAGTTATAGTTTTGTATTTGTGTGTATATATGCATATATATACATAAATATACTTGAATATATTTAACATTAATCAAGAAAAGGGCAGCAATTTGAGAGTGGGAGGGACTTGGAGGGGATAGGGAGGGAGAAGAAGTGGGGAAGTGGTATAATTAAAATATAATTACAAATGAAAATTAGAAGTAAACATCTTTAAATGAAAAATAAAAGTTTATTATTGTTATTGTTGCTATTTTAGACATTTAATAACTCTTTAGTATTCAGATAATTCTTAAGTTATTCAGATAATAATGAAATACATTAATAAAAGGTAGTCATGTATAGAAAAATAATGTTTTGATGTTTCCATGAATAGGAGCAAGAATTTGTTAAGATTGTAGGAATCAAATATGAGGTTGGACCACCTACTCTGTGCTGCTTGAAACTTGCATTTTTGGACCCCATTTCAGGCAAAATGACTGGAGAGTCTTTTTCTATTAAGTAAGTAACTTATTTCTGATTTTTTGTTTGTTCATATGAATTTTAATGCCCATTGTTACTAATGTGTTTAATATTCAATTCAGAGCTCAAATACAATGGGAGAGGGAAATGCTGCAGCACTTCTCCGTGCTTTAGAATTATAAGGGTCTGTTTAGTGTTTGCTCTGTTGCTCTGTATAATGTGTGTCAGGAAGGGGTAAACTAATCCATGCACAAAGCTAGTTACTTAATCTGCTTTTAGAAAATAGACTTGCTTAAATGCTGCTTCTTTCCTGAGAGCTGTAAAGAATCAAAGACTGCGGGGTTTTTTTTGTTTGTTTGCTTTTGGATTTTCGAGACAGGGTTTCTTCGTAGCTTTTTGGTTCTTGTCCTGGAACTAGCTCTTGTAGAACAGGCTGGTCTCGAACTCACAGAGATCCGCCTGCCTCTGCCTCCCGAGTGCTGGGATTAAAGGCATGTGCCACCATGCCTTTATAAAAAGCAGACTGCTGTTTATACAGTATGCTTGAAACATGGTGCTTGGTGTTATTTTTAATAATAATAATACATATAATAAGCAAATGACTATTTGTGGGATTTAAATTTAAAATTGATGGGACTGCATAAAATATCAATCCATATTTTTGTGGCAGGATCTCACTTTGTAACCCTGGCTAGCCTTGAAAGAGATCCACCAGCCTCGGCTTCCTAAGTGCCAAGGTCAATGGGGTGTGGCCACCACACCTAGTGATCCATTTTTTTAAATTTTGATGAAGATCTTTATATTAAACTTTTAAAGTCTTTATTGATCTTTATATTATTTAAATAAAAGCATTTCTAGAGACCGTGGAGTTTACAAAATTTTGCTTAATGATCTCTATGTCAAATTGTATCCTTGGAAGTGGAGCAAGTGATAACTACGATTATACTACAGTATTAGATAGCACTGTGCTTTGTTTTCTGTGTAGGTATCATGACATGCCAGATGTCATTGATTTCCTTGTGTTATATCAGTTTTATAATGAAGCCAAAGAAAGGAACTGGCAGATTGGTAAGGAGAAATTGTCTCTTCTAATTCCTAACCTTGAAGTACAGCGTTAACCCTGATTTAACCACAGGAAATTAGCTCAAAGTTTGAACTGAACCAAGAAGTAAAATTTATAAGGCATACAAAAAAAATGAAACATAATGTTAAGTAACTTTATTCACATTGTGTACTATTTACAACCAGTTCACCCTTGTACCTCATTTCATGTTATATGGTCTTACTTGCCTATGTCCAGTTGGAGTTTGAACATATAAAATGGAAAATATCAAATAGAGTAACTCATAATTTTCGAGTTCCTCGTTGTGAATACTTTAATGGATCCTCACACAATCACATCCCTTCTTACCTGGGATGTCAGGTTTTCCAGCAAACGTGCTGATCTTTTATTCTCAGCTGTGTCTTCCAATGCTCTGGGTACTAGCGTGCTTAAATTCAAGGACCTATTATGTAGGAGCCTAATATGTGCCAATGCCTACACTGTTCACCGCACTGCACCAGCTCACATAGTCACAAAAAGAAAGGGTGAATATAATACGATAGAATACTGTAAGAGAAGCCATATTGCGAACTTTTATTACATTGTAATATTACATTTTAATTATTGTTTTATTATAGTATACAACTTACAATCTCTTACTATGCCAGATTTATTAAATTTGCCATAGTTGTGTATGATAATGATAAATACAAGCTACTTCTGAATTCAAAACTATGTAAGAATTTGAGTGGGAACAGAGCTCATTCTGATTTAAATGTCTGAAATTCATTATAGGTGATAGGTTCCGCAGTATAATAGATGATGCCTGGTGGTTTGGAACTGTGGAAAGCCAGCAGCCTTTCCAGCCAGAATATCCTGATAGCTCTTTCCAGTGTTACAGTGTTCAGTAAGTACAGCTCATTTGTGACTCTGGTAAATCCTAAGTGCTCTATTATATCAACTTTTTTCAC